GACAGTTACATTATTTTGATCAGCTTAACTAGAAAAGGATCTATGGACCCTCTTAAACCAGTTGAGTTGGTCTGAAAAGTTGATGCAAGAACTGTGACAGGTGTTCGAAGCTTAGAGTTTGAGAGCAGGATTTTAATCTCATCTGCTCCCATAATTTCACAGATAAGGAAACACTCAACAAAAGTTACATGACTTCTCCAAGGTCAAATTCAAAAAAGAACCCCAGTTCTCCCAATTTATAGACCAGGCAACTTTCTAAATACCAAGGCAGGGACTTACTTGGTGGTCTAGTTGTTAAGTCTATGCTTCTGACAGAGGGGACGCAGGTTCCACTGTGGTCGGGAAACTAGGTTCCACGTGTCACACAGCCCAGCCAAAAAATAAACAAAATTTTAATAAGTTAATACTGCAGCAGATAAAAAGAAATCTTCATAACAAGCTTTATGAACATCAGAAAAAGGTTTAATATGGCAATTTCACAGTATTTTATCAATAGTTACAAACTCTGAATTGAACCAAATTGCATCTTTGAGTTTAAAAATTTTTGTCATCAAAAAAGAAAAACGTAATTGATAGAACGAGACTCTTTAAATGTGTTGGCAACCAGAAGAAACCTGTTTTTTGACATTCTCTCTCTCCTCAGTTGTCTGCACTAACTGTATATTGAAAGAAATATGTCACATTCTCTGCATGTAATCCTTAAACTGATTTTTAAAAATTGGTTTGTTTTCAAAATGGACTTTTTCTTCCCCTTGTAGCATATCTAGCCTGGCAAATGCAATACTGAGATCTTTTTTTCACTTACTAGTTTGCTATAGCAATGGCTTTTTACTTTGATCCACACTAGCACTCCCTAATCAGTCCTGAATATTTATTGTAAGGACTGATTCTGAAGCTGAAGCTCCAATACTTTGGCTGCCTGATGCGAAGAGCTGACTCATTGGAAAAGACCCTAATGCTGGGAAAGATCGAAGGCAGGAGGAGAAGGGGATGACAGAGATTGAGAAGGTTGGATGGCATCACCGACTCAATGGACCATGAGTTTGAATAAGCCCCAGGAGATGGTGATGGACAGGGAGGCCTGGCGTGCTGTGGTCCATGGGGTCACAAAGAGTCAGACATGACTGAATGACTGAACTGAACTGAAGATGGTAAAATAAGAGGACTGAACACAGTGTGTGTGAATGAGGTAAATTGGGTGATTGGGACTGATATACACACTAGTATATATAAAATAGTTAACTTATAAGAAACTGTTGTATAGCACAGGGAACCACTCAGTACTCTATAATGGCCTATATGGGAAAAGGATCTTTAAAAAAAGTCGAGTGAATATATATATATATACTATAACTGATCCACTTTGCTGTACATCTGATACTAATACAACATTGTAAATCAACTATACTCCAATAAAAAATAAGAAAACAAAAACATTTGTAGTATGCTCCTTTGACCATACAATCTTAATGAAATCTCAATGTTAAGGGGAAAAAAATGATTTTAAAAAAAAACTACTTTTTTCCCTAAATGCATCCACTTTGTGGTGAATGTCAGGTTGGTAAGTTTGAAGAGATTCCCTGTCTCACCCTGCCCCTCCCCCGGGGTGCTGTGAGATGGGCAAGGAAAATGGTATGTTGGAGAGAAAGAGCACAAAAATCTGTTTCTTACTTCTGTTTGTCCAAATGCTATTTAGTGCTTTGGGAGGAAATGGATTCTGTATGCTGTCAATCCACCTGGAATGTCATGTGTCAAAACATTGGGAGCAAATGAATCTAAGACAGCGCTTCACTGTCCGTGGAGGAAAGCAGGCTTATTTGGTTTACTCTGTTAGCCCATAACTCGGTGCTGAAAGACCGACTTCTTTCGGTAAAGTACTTCTAAAATGTTGTAAACACTGGCTTGACTATTTACCTAATAATGTCCTCTAACATCAATTAGAACTGCTGAACTTTTCTCAATGAATTTAGTTAAGACTGTTCTTAAATTGGAAAAGGGACAATGGTAATGATATTTCCTGAATTGAAAGTTCTCTCAAAGTTAGTTGTATTGGGTACAAGACTAAGGCTATCCTCTTCCCAAAACGGTAGGTCTCACTGCAATTGGATGTCAGGCGGTAAGGAAAGATGAATTCCTCCTTATGGGAGGGAGAGGTATTTGTGTGTGTGTGTGTGTGTGTGTGTGTGTGTGTGTGTGTGTGTGTGTGTGGGTCTTCATTGCTGCACATTTCTCTAGTTGCAGCGAGCGGGGCCTACTCTCTAGCTGCCGTGTGTGGGCTTCTCGTGGCGCTAGCTTCTCTCGTGGAGCACAGGCTCCAGGTGGGCAGGCTTCAGGAGTTGTGGCTCGTAGGGTCAATAGTTGTGGCACATGGGCTTGCTCTCCAGCATGTAGAATCTTCCTGGACAAGGGCTTGAACCTGGGTCCCCTGCATTGGCAGGCAGATTCTTATCCACCATACCACCTTATGCCTAAGTTGTGCCTGCTCCTAAGTTCTGCAGTTTTGATTTGTTATTAACCACAATTATTGGCTGAATATAAAACTTGAATGCTTTCCAAAAGCTGCCACATACAATCACTGTTTCTCAGCCAGAGTAGCACCCTGATATCTGGGATGCTTCAAAGCATTAGAGGGTATGTCCAGTTGCCCCAATGACTAGAGTGTGAGCGCTGCTGACATTTGGAACCAGGAGCCAGGGAAGCCAAATGCTCTACCATGAAGAACTTGCCAATCAAGATGCTAGGGTGACTTCATGGAGAAACACCAGGAGGCACTGCAATGACTCATACTGAAGATTGTATGAATATTACCATTAAAATGTGACCTGAGAGAGGACAGAACTGGTTTGACAAATGCAGGAGACAAAGACCAGCGACGTTAGGGATCATGACCCTACCCAGGAAGAGGGGCCAGGGCCAGGGCAGGCCTGACTGTCCAGAGTTCTTCCTGCTCCAACGCATGCTCTTCCACAAAGCCTTCACATGGCTCCGGGCACATTACTTGGACTCCTGGATTCTAAGAGCTGTTAAGTCTTGGTCCACCACGTGACATCAGGATACACTCTGGGATTAGAGAGTCCTGACTAAATGAATGGGTCTTAACCGAGGCCCAGATTCCCGAAGTGAAGCCCAGATGCAGCACGTCGGGTGTTTCCTGTTAATTTTCTATGATCATTTCAAATAACCACATCTTCACATCAACTGTGCATGTAGCATTTAACAGTGTAAACACAGACCAGTCCCTTTAGCCATCTCATGTTCTCTGCCCTCATACTCCTCAGCACAACTTTCTTAATAAACTCTTAATATAGCATCCCTAACGAATGTTTCAATGTATCTTAGTCACAGAGAGGATATTAACATCTACTCCTGAAGCCTGAATTTCTAGGGAGAGTACAGTCATCCTGTGCGCCTGGGCCTTGAAGCCATGATGGAGTATCTGAGGTACCCACACCTCCGGTGTCCGTCAAGGTTGCCTGGAGTCCCCAGGCAGATTCTTGGGGGTTCTGGGGCCTGCTCCCTTGCAGCTCCTTGCAAAGGCAGGGCGGCATCATTCCAGGTACCAGGGGCACCACTCTCCCAGACCTCCCCACGTAGAGTGGGAGGGCTAGGAGCAGAGATCAGATAAGTTTGAGGTTGCTAGCCTGGCTGAGAACAAAGGATGGCATAGGCTTTCAGTGAGTATGCAAAAACTGTCATGAAATGCACCCCTCCCCCATGCATTGGTCTCAAGAAGGTCTGTTTTCTATCGGAGACAACTGTCATTGAGATTTAAACCTTCTGTATAATTCAACATACCATCAACTCTACAGAATCAAATCAACCAAAAATGCGATCCTCTGAGGCCCACCCCCACCCTAGAATGAGTGATGCAGAGGCTCTGCACAGACTTCACATACAGGCCAGTCTGGGGGGAGCTTGCACTTTGCAGCCCCCTTCATCTGTGATTTAACGTCATTTTATGGACCAAGAGACTCATCAAGGGAAAAATGTGGTTTTACCCTTTGGTGGTTAGAAAGACAATACAGAATATGCGTTGTGTGTGTACATGTGTGCTGTGCTGTGTGTATCTATGTGTGTATATATATATTGGAAAAGACCCTGATGCTGGGCAAGACTGAAGGCAGGAGGAGAAGAGGACAAGAGGATGAGATGGTTGGATGGCATCACCGACTCGATGGATGTGTGTTTGAGCAAGCTTTGGGAGTTGGTGTTGGACAGGGAAACCTGGCGTGCTGCACTCCATGAGGTTGCAGAGTCTGATATGACTAAGCAACTGAACTAATACATATATATATTTCATTTGTTCTCTTGAAAATAGCAACAAAACTCCCCCTAAACCCAGTCATCACTCTTAAAAAACAAGGACAGTAAGGACCTATTGTATAGCACATGGAGCTCTGTTCAAGTTATGTGGTATCCTGGATGGGAGGTGGGTTTGGGGGGAGAATAGATACATGTGCACGCATGGCTGAATCCCTTCATTGTCCACCGGAGACTACACAAAATTGTTCATCAGCTATACCCCAGTACAAAAAAAAAACAAAAGGCAAAGCAAAGCACGCAAACAAAACCCCCACTTCCTTTGCTTTCCTAAATCAGTTTGACGTTTCTTTTTAAATCTCAGTGAAAAAGGCTGATGATCCAGACCGTGGTCAAAGGCAGAGCAGCCAGTCATGAAAGCAAGGAAGAGTGACTTCAAGGGGCTTCAAGCAGGAGGCTTTATGTCTGTGCACTGCCAAGTACCTCCCACCCCAGGGCCCCGCTTCACCACTGCAGAGTTTTCAGGAGAGGTGCCATCTCTCTCTACCAACAAGCAAGCTCTCTGGTCATCTCCCTGAATACATCTGGCTCCTGTAACTTGCTGTAATCTGTTCCCCAAAAGGCTAAGATTACTGTGCTACTTACCTCACTAGGAAGCTTTCCAAAAGCCACCCACACAAGCATACCCCTTCTCAGAAGAACCTTCTAGTTGTGCATAATTTAATAAAACTGACCATGTAGGATAATGCTGTTTATTAAAAATATATTCAGGGAGAAGGAAGTCAGTGCATTTATGCAATTTTACATACACATCTGTATTTTGAGGTTCCATTATTCCAACAGTTCATATAAATCACTGTTTCAGATAAGAGAAAAAAAATGCTTTACACAGGAGATCAGCAATTGGTTATAAGTTTGGTAGTATGAGTAGGCTTGTTGTAAAAATAAAACCACCTCTTCCAATATTAAAGAGTGTCTCCTTGATGCAGAACAAGTCTTTAGAGTTAAGAACTTTTTCTTGCATAAGAATTAACTTGAAGGTCTTGAAAACAGCCAATTCTCCATTTTTTATAAATATAAATGCTATATTTTGTCTGGATTTTTTTTTCTTTTGAGGTAACAAAGGAAGCATTTTCAGTGATTTGTCACTAGGTTATCCCTTACCAGGTATGTCAACTACTGCAACGTCAAACCTACGACCCATACAAAAGCATTTCTCAGAGTTAGAAATACAGAGTACGACATTTTCAAACAATGTTCTCATTACAGTAGGGAAAATAAAGTGGGTCAAAACAACCAAAGCCCTAGATAACTGAATTAAAGGCTTGATCATCTTTGCTGATGAAGAATGAACCTCAGCATCCAGAACCTCTCCCAGGAGGATTTGGTTTCCGAATGCAGTTAGGTCGTTCCCCAGCAAGTCTCCTTTTTCATCACATTTTTTTTTTCCCCGTGGAATATCAGCAACATTCCCATTTCCTCAGTCTACTCACTGACAGGAATCGGGAGCACAGTTTCAACACCTGTTGGACTAACAGGAAGACACGCTCAATTTGCTGGCAATAATCCTTACTGTGGAATAAGCAAGAGCTGAATCTCATGTTTTAGATGCGGAAGTTGGGGCTGTCGCTCACCCTAACGGCCTTTATGCACAGGATGCCCCAGAGGAGGACAGAAGTGATGTCGGCCAGCCAGCTACACCTCTCCTTTCCATGTTATGTACCAAACTCACAAGTATAGCCAAACGTGGGACAGAAGGACTTTAGGGTACTACCTTCTTCAGAGAATGCTAAGTTGAAGGGCAGTTCTCCATCACCACCAACTAAGGGAAGCAGAGCTGAAACACGGGAAGAGCAGAAAGTGTCCCGTGGACTGTGTAGAAGGGTTTGGCTGGGTTTAGCTAAGGCATCTAGAATTCTCTCCACGTCTGTTCCTAATGAGACTACTGGACACTCACAATTCACTTTAGGGGTGTGGAGTTGGAGGGGAGAGGCTGGGAGGAGGGGAATACATTTCACTAACTCTTCCTTCTTAAATAGTTTAAAACATTTTCATCTACAAAGTAGAGCAAATCAGTCACCGTCTGAATGTCAACCCCACAGTTGGTATTAGCTATGACTAATATCTGACTGACTCCACTTCAGAGAGAACTGTAAAGGACAACAAGGTCTTAGTCAATATCCAACTGTCTACATGTGTAAAGCATCCTTAGAGAGCAGTGAGTGGTGACAGGGTTACTCAGTGAATAAATTTAAGGCATAACTGGAGTAACAGCAAATGAAGGGTATTTTTCCCTATGATGCAGTATTAAGGCCTCTGTCCTAGGCAGATTGCTTGAAAATGGGAAGGGTCTTCTTGCTCCTAATTAATCAAGGACCAACTCCCCCACCACCCCCAAATTAAGGAGTTAAGTTGGACTGAAAGCTTTTAAACAGGTTAACTACTGACTTTGAAACAATCAAGCTCCAGAGTGTGATTCAAAAACCAACTAATGTACTCATTAGATGCTGACATCAATGAGGCCAAATTTGCCAGGGCCATGAAATGACTGAAATGGTAAATACAGATATCCAAATAGGAAACATTGTTTATACATATGTGGGAATTTTAACAACAGAATCCTTTAAAAAAAAGAGGAACAAAAATGTTATGTTCAGGCAAAAATCTTTTGTGCTTAAAGTCTGTGAAAAGATAGGTTTCAGAACAGTTTAAAAACAAATCAGTTCCCTCATTAAAACAAGTTTTGCTTGATTAAACTGCACAGGTCCTATGGTGTTCATCTAGAACTGCAGAGACACAGCTCCCTCAAGGTGATGCCAAGGTGAAGCCCCTTTGCTCGCTAGAGCCTCTGCAAGGACCCAGGAGGTGCCTCAGTCTCCACTCACTGCTCCATCCCACCTAACACCTAACTCACCCAACCAGGGTCACTGCCCAGGTTCATTAAAAAGATGCTCGTATAAGGCCATTTGAGTGTAAAATGACAAAGTAATCTAAATAAAACAAGCCACTGAATTTCTCTAAGGTGGTGGAATAGGGAACAAAGGAGCTTCTACATCAATGAAGTAAGACTTTAGAACAAACAAAATTGATTTCTCAAAGTCCAATAAAAAAAAAAAATCAGTTCATCACCCATTTTCAGAAAGATGAACTATGGAAATTCTCTCAAATTTTATGCAACTGGCTTAATTTTGAACTGTAGGAAGGAAGGAAGGAATCTCCTCCCATTCTCCTTCCAGTTTTTATGTTCTTCAAGTTTCTATTCTCAACTCTTTGAATAGCGCAAACAGCCATGACGCAAATCATAGAGCTGTGATGATCTGCTTGCGTTGAGATGCATCTATATAATTGAGTTATGCATACAGCACAGAATATAAACAAAAAGGTGAAGCAAACTTTATTTTCAGGTAAAAACATGAACCTGATGAATTATTGCAGATTTGAGAAATCAGCACATAAAACTGGACAGAGCATTGCTTACAGGTGTTCTATCTGTGTCGAGACAAAGGCCGGGCTGTTTGTCCCAAGTGAGCACTAGGAGGAGGGGAAGAGGAGACTGGAGGAACAAAAGATGGTGGGGGAAAAACTTAAAAACGAGAACAAGGGGAAAAGAAAAAAAATTGTTTTTCTACTCGAACAGGGAATGTAAACGGCTAATTTTGCTTAAAACCTTATATATCAATTCAAAATGCTCTGACCATAGAATAATAAACACTGGCCAGCCCAAGTTGCAGAACTTTTTAACCAACACAAAAGAAACAAAGGAGCTCTCCCTGCCTCCACTAGGGAGGTGGCGGTGGCAGGAATCACATGTGGTAAACAGTCCTAGTGTGTCCCTGGTGTGAGGCCAGTGATACCCCATGGCTCTGGTGCATCTAAGCTCTTAGAAAAAGCTACCTAGTTATAAGGGCTGACTTATACTGACAATAGACTTCAATTCCATGAATTTTAAATTATATCTTAATTTAAGAACATGGAACAACAAAAGCCCATGGCTGACGAAGATGTACCAACTGTGGATTTTGTACACAAAAAACCTGTGTGAGTGGCACAGACAGTACAAGGGTCGGGTGGGGAAACTCGAGAGAGGGTGGGAGGGTGCAGAGCGGAAAGCACAGAGCTCACCTACTAAACTGTTTTTGTCAAACACACGTGAGCTTGAATTTCTGTACAAGAGTTGTCTTTGGAGGAAGCAAAACTGCAGACTTAGCTAGATGGATACACACAGCCCAGAATTAAACTGCACAGCGACATTTATTGTTTCAGCCTGGAAAAACATCCCTTTTTTAAATTTCACACAGCAAAGCAAGTTAAAAACTTCACTCGTCAAATAAATGATAATTTAAACAAGAACTTGCTAAAGAAACCTCATCACAACAACGTTTTAGGGCCTGATCACTTTAAGTCCATGGGGCCATTAATGAAGAGGAACCGAGGGTCTCTTTTATATTCTGCAAGCCATTTTCCTACGAGAAGGCGTAACATGTTTCCTTGACTCAGGTGACACATTTAGAAAAGAAATCATGATTTCTGTCTTTTGCTGTAACAGGCAGACACCGCGCTTCCTGATGTGATCAAGAAAGATGGAACGACTGCTGCCCTTCTCTCGCGGCCATCAACAGCTTTTCCCGCATTATCTCGAGGCTTGAATAGTCCGGCAACTTAAGATAGTTCACACAGGTCATGACAGAGGGTAGGAAGTCATCTGGGTTCTCTGTTGATTCAAAGGTCTTCCGGACAATGGTCAAAGGTGGATTCAAGCTCCGGAAGCCTGATGAAGAGGGAAGGAAGAAGGACAAAGGAACGTGGTAAGTTGACAGGATGCCCATGAGAGAGCACAGGGAAAACTCGCGTCTCAACCATGAGGAGAATCGGTCTGGAATCACAAGCAGTACCCTTTCCTATCCACTTCCATCAGAAAACGTCCAACACTGCTCGGCTGCACAAAATGACCACACACAGAAGGCATTTTTTCCTCCTGGGTAATGAACTCTGCCCACTCAAGATACACTCAGTGTAAGGACTCTGGTGCCTGCTTTATCCACCATTCAAAGTCACTATGACATGACGGCAAACAGTGCTTTATGCTTTCCTCATGTTTTTTAAAGAGTGCCAATTCAACCCATATTAGGATTCATCTCTGAAAAAAACAGACTTTAGAACCACTTCTCATCTAAGGGTTTATAACATGTACAAATGCCAGAGAATCTGAGTACAGGCAAGCAGTACTCCATGTACGTGAGCACTCCCACTTCAGTGTAAGGGTCTCTATGAACTGCCTTGCCAGAGATCTCTCTTGTCTCCTAGCACACTGAACACTTAACAGTGCAATATTATAGAACTAGAAAGAAGAAGAAAGTGTTAGTTGCTCAGTTATGTCTGACTCTTTGCAACCCCATGGACTGTAGCCCACCAGATTCCTCTGTCATGGAATTCTCCAGGCAAGAATACTGGAGTGAGTTGCCATTCCCTTACCCAGGGGATCTTCCCAACCCAGGGACTGAACCCAGGTCTCCCGCATTGCAGGCAGACTCTTTACCATTTGAGCCACCAGGGAACTAAGAGGCATTTGTAAGTCAAAAAATATCCTGCTGTTGACACTGCAATTTTGCATGCACACACACTCTCTCTCTCACCATCCCCCTCCACACAGCTACAATAAATCAATAGTTGTACCCACCTCCAACAGGCAATCGTGGGCTACCTGTCACAAACTGGAGAAATAACCTCTGCTGTTCATTATCAAAACTACTGAGAATCTCAAACAAGAACTTCACAGCCCGACTACAACAGAAATAAATACATCAAAGTTATCTCATCATATTAAAATACATTTCTGACTTACAATGAGCTAGAGACTGTTAAATGTAAACATGACTACATACGAATTCACTTTATAAACACACACAAACTTGTTCTGTTGTTACAGCTGGAATTCAAATGGAATGGCTACTCTGGTGATAAATGAGACTTGTCTGGGACTGTACAGGTATTTCCCCTCTACTGTACATAAAATGGGTAATGGGGTGACCTTGGGATCCCCATCTTTGCCTATTCTGCCCATTTTCACAGAAAACACTTGGGGCAAAAAAGCCCCAAAACCCTTTCAGTCCTCAAGCCCCAGTCTTGAGAGGAAAGAAGCCAAAATATTGGAAAGCCTCCTTTGATAGGGAAACAAATCTTAAAAGCCTAGACCTCTATGTGTATCTGACACCTGGCAGAGCCCAGGCCTTACCTGTCATGAGTGTAACCGTGATCTGGTCTGCAGCATTCCATCAGTGTCTTGGCATCCCAAGTGTCTGCTTTACTACCACACAGAAGCTGATCCAGCTGTGTGTTTAAACAAGGGCAACAGATTACTAAGGACACAACTGAGCGAAGCGGCACACGCTTTCTGTTTTATGGTGTGCTGAGATGAAGTCCACAAGCTTCTGCTTGGTGCTCTTTATACAAAGTGCTCTTCCACTATTAATCACAGATTCACTCTCCTCTGTAGCTGACAGTAACGGGTGCCCTGACCATCTGCAGGGACTAGGTTCTAGAGAAGCCTTTAATCTGAATCAAAACCTACCTAATTCTTTTCATTTCTTTAGAGGCTTTAACTTCATAATCTACCTCTGACCAGAGACATCTTATAAATTCTGACTTTTACAAACACAAGGGCACACAATAACAGAAGCTAACAGAGAGAATATTGAGCAGGAGAAGTGGGAGAACAAAGCTGAACCAACAGCCAAAGGGGAGGTTTTCCCGCTTTGCAAAGGCACTTCTATGCCAGATGGTTGTCTAGGACTAAGACAGTCATTACAGGCAGATGTTGGAAAGAAAGAAACGCTCATGTCCTTAGGATAAAAATCTAAGATCAGTATCCAGTTAAACCATCTCTCACCTGATTGACTGCCCATTTGTGGGATGACTTGTCTACTTTGAGAAAATCCATTCGGCACATGTGAAATTTGGTATCTACTACATGTCACTCACTGTCAGGCACTTTATGTATTTTGTTCAGTGAGACAAAGTTTACCTCAATTTTATGAATGAGCCAGTCAGCTTATATACAAAAGCCTGGATAAGGTCACACAGCTAAGCAGTGGGGTTGCTGTTAGTTACTAAGTCGCATCTGACTCTCTGCGACCCCACGGATTGTAGGCTGCAGGCTCCCCCGTTCACGGGACTTCCTAGGCAAGAACACTGGAGTGGGCTGCCATTTCCTTCCCCAGGGGATCTTCCTGACTCAGGGTTGAACCTGCATCTCCTGCATTGGCAGGCAAATTCTTTATTGCTGAGCCACCTGGGAAGCCCCAGGCAGTGGGGACCAGGATCCAAAATCCAAAAGCAACCCTTGCTGTTTTCAATTCCAGGTGACACTTAGTGCCTAAAAGTGCCAGGTATACGCGTTGTAGCAAATCAAAGTGGACATAAAAATAATTGAGATCAAAATGCTAAGTCATTCAAAGATTTGCAGATTCAGCCAGAAAATATAGTATAAAAAAATACTCATATCATATTCAATATTCGTTCTCACTCAGGAAATGATCTTATTTTTCCCAAACTACCCTCTTAACGCCCAACCCTCCACAATTTTATTTGCTCATAACAACAGGGTATCTGACTAAAAAGCACAGAGATACCTCATTAAGATAATTACAGGTATGGAACTAGAGATGACCATTTCTTCTGCACACAAGCTACTCACTTCTTCTGGGTAGAAGTACTGGAGATGACTGAGTGGGAAGACTGATTCAAATCCATCTCTAAATGAATCAAATTGCCTGGAAACACCTTCGTTTAGTGCCCAAAATATAACCAGCTGCAAAAAAAATAAATAAATAAAAATTCTTTAAAAATCTGTGACCAGAGTCCAAGTTTCTTTCCTATTTAATATTTGGCAAAGTAGAGTGAAATATCCTTCCTGATCACTTAAAAAAAAATTCCAAGGTCTTTAGAATATGTTGCAGAAAACTGTGTAACAGATAGGTCAGGTCAACTTCTGATTCAGGGTCTGGCCATTAAGAACATGTAAAAAATGCCACATGCATTTATATTTAGTGTGTTTTAAAAACTTATTTATATAATATCCCTGTGAGTTACAAATTACCTTACCAGATGAAAACCACATGAAACTTCCCAAGAGGATGAAATGTTATTGAGAATTAAAGATAATGTTTCAAGAGTCACAATTACCATCTGTTGGAAAAGTCTGGTCTCAGAGCTGTAGGTGGCTTTCTGTCTAGAACCCAATGCTCTTTCCATTCAAAGTCAGGAATAAAACAAAAGAAACTTTTCCAAAAGTAGTGATGATAAAGACATATAGACTGCAATCTAAAATATAATTTGGATCAGTACAAAATTGTTTTTCCTTAATAAATAGGGTCAAGGATGGTGAGAGTGCAAACAAACATAAACGTCTGTACACAGGTATGGAGAGCATCAAAGGCAATGAGGTCAAGTTAAGTGGCTTGAGAGAAAAGCAGAAATGCAGTTTAGAGACAACACAAGGGATGTTCCTTTTCACTGATTTTTTTCTTAAATTAAGAAAATATGATGTTATTAGATGGCATTCAAGCTTAAAGGCAGAGAGTTCACAGCTATACATGAGGCATACTGTGAAATATCTGACAATGTCTCAAGTGCAAACAGAAGTTAAGGCCTGAAAAAAGGGACTTCATGTAGTCACCCCGGGCGTTGACGGTCTCAAACCAGTCTATGCAGCAGCTCCCAGCCACAGATCGCCCATCCCACCCCCTCCCTCATAGCAGTCGGCCCCACCCCATGTGACCACCGATGGCCTTCTCTCCAGGGGATGTGGCCAGTACGCACTCTTAAATACTCCTCCAAATTGTGGATGGTGACCGGTATATCCTTTCCTCCTTTCTTTAGTTCAATGTTAGGAAACCCTGGCAGAGTGAAATCCAATCCCAGATCCTCCACGGAGCAGCCATTCATAGTCAGGGTTTCTAATGCATACTGGAGACTCTCTTTGGTCTAAAAAAAGGGGGAAGGGTGTTTGTCACAAATAAAAAGAAAGGCTAACAAACTGTATGAGTGTCTTTAGCTCTGAGCCTGTTCTCTCTTTGTTATCATCTACACAAAGTCACTGAGATCATATAGGAAATAATCATAAACACTTCAAAATCCAACTATTTTTACATGGAAAACAAGACTGAGATGTTTTCTACTCAGTTTCACCACACTCAAACAGATTTCACAGGCCATAACAGATGGCATCACAGACTCAATGGACATGAGTTTGAGTAAACTCTGGGAGTTGGCAATGGACAGGGAGGCCTGGTGTGTTGCAGTCCATGGGGTTGCAAAGAGTTGGACACAACTGAGCAACTGAATTGAACTGAATAGTCTGCATAATGATTGATTTATGAGTGCAAGCTCTAACGCCAGACTTCACAAATTCACAAATTTTCAGCTAATCTTAATGAATCCAAGGGGGAAAAAAAAAGGTCACTCAATTGCATTTGATTTTCTGGGACCCCATGCACTGTTGCCCTCCAGGCTCCTATGGAGCGCTAATTCCAATATGTATATGTAGCAAATACTAAGTAATACAACACAGTTAGGAAATTGTAAATACAAATAATGTACTTTCTAGTAAAAGTAGTTAACTTGTTTTCTCTGCAAGCTCAAGTCTAAAGAACACCCAGAGATCCTTCATTCAATTACTGCAGGCCCAGCACTAACAACTCTGTATTCACACATCAACACTGACGGTGAAAAACGGTTTCAACGAATTCCTAAAAAAAGTCAAGTCCCACTTTAAAGACAAATGCATGTTAATAGCAGTTTGTATTACTGACTTTTACAAAATGCTTAAGATTTTGAAGGCCTTACATAAAATATTATTTCTGAATCAAAGACCAACACACACAACTGCACATTCTCTTTGAAAAGAAGGTGTCAGGAGAAAGAAAAAGAAGTTACAGGAGAAAGAAGGTGAATGATTTTCTGATTTAAAGATGCCCCTGGGTATCCTAGAGGTTAGGCAGTCAAGATGCAGAAAAGTAATCACTTATACGACAACAACAAAAAAGGCTAGGAAGTTCTGGTTAATACTTTTTAAAAGGAAACTGAAAGCCACTTAGGATTCCAGATAATTCAAAACATAGCATTGGGGTGGGGCAGAATTATTTAACATTAAGGTCAAACAGTTTGTTCAGTTTTTGCTTCTCTGCAAAAACACATGTTTACATCTCTCTCAGTTTGGGTACATCATTTCACGACACACAAGAAAGGTTTTCCATTCTTCATTTGAAATGCCTGTCAGCAAAAGGACTTAATAAAAACTCTCCCACTGGAAAGCTCTAAACAATGCTATTATTGATAGGAATCTAGAATATACAGTACGTCCTTGAGATGTTTAAAAGGGATTAGCCATTTTACATATTACATATTATAAGAGCTATGCTTTAGCCCATTTTTCATGTATTTTTCAAGAATTTAAATTACCAAGTGGAAGCTCAGCTTGGACACCTTGTTCCATCTGTATGCTTTATAAATAAAGAAGTAAGACATTTGAGAATACCACCAGTCTTCAAGTTCTGGTTGAAGTTTTCTGGAAGGTGGTTCTTGTGCTACGCATCTTACACTTTTAAATTGGTAACATCAGAATAATAAACATTAGAAGAACAAATCTCAAAAGATTTGAGGAAGAGAATGCAGCAGACTACACAGGAGACAAGGATACATAAGAGAGCTTGTAAAAGCTCTAAGACAGTGGCCTCCAGAGCAGAGAGCCTGGGTTTGAAGTCCAGCTCTCAGGTATTTCAGCTAAGTGACCTTGGGTAGGCAACTCAAACTATCTGCGTTGGGTGTCTCATGTGTAAATGTGTAAAGTAGGGATAACAAAAACATGTGTATCTCACAATGGATTAAATGCATTAATACACGTAAGGCTCTTGGAAGAGGGTCATGAATTGTACTTTATTGGTGGGGGGAGAGGTTTGAGGAGGTGTGGTTTGTGGTGGTACAGCATTAATAACCTAAGAGATGATCTTAAACAAGATTATAGTAGTTTACAAGGTTGGTAAGCATAAACCTAACTGGTTTTAAAAATCCTAAGACAACATATCTTATATGGAAAAGATGGATCTGGCTTCTTTAAAAACCAATTTCTCTTAATAAATGTTTACCAAAAAATTACCATTAATAATTATCAATAAATATGGGAGATAAAATTCTTACAAATCATCTTCTTTCTTGACAAAAAGGTACTCTAAAAGCCCCATCTCCAATAAGCTCCTATCTATCTTATTGAGAGACATAACCTTTTACCAAGCTATAGAATCTTAATTCTTTATTCTTATTTTATGCAGTTTACAAAATATATGAGTTGATTTATCACTGGTCCATGTTACTTGCCCCAATATAAAGACATCTGACTCTATGCCGCTTCTCAAAAAATAAAATTCTGTCTTCTTCCAATGTCAGATACAGAACCCTATTACTCTCAGACTGAATCAAATTATTTAATTTTGTTAATATATGAAAAATATACATTAATGATATAAAGACCAAGATTATTCATGAGATCTAACAGAGAAATCTCAACAGATGTTACCAACAAATAGTGACACCACCATGACCTTTAAAAGTACCTTCCTGAGATTTCTCTAAAAACAAATAGGTTGTTGCTAAATTAAGCCATCTTTCCAGAAAATCAATCTGTTGCCCTAAGAATAGCTTTATTGATTCAAATGCTTACTGAAAAAATTCAATATGACAGAGTATCTGCCCGGATACATAACATCCACCTAAAATGTAATAAACGAGCCCTATGGTTTTAGCTAGGGGTGTATTTTATTTGCTGGTCAAGTTGCTTGTTCATCATCTGCTGTTATTACAGGCCATCTTACCCACTGTAAAATCATATGTTTCAGCTGTTATAATAGCAATTAAACTCTTCCAATATAAAATAATAACCAGGCCGAACAGAAATCACTTAACAAAGACTCCATCTTCTAAGCCTACCTGGGATTTATCTTGTTCAAGTCTTTTCTTCTGTCGGACGATGTCTTCAAGGTGATACACTGACCTGGCTACAACTGGGTCAATGTCAAACAAATCGTGTGATGTCAGCGAAGTTTCTTGCCGTAGCATCCATTTATAAAAAGGTAAGCCCAGGGGAAGGTCCACCTAAAAGAGAAGATGCAAATGCTGTAATAGTCACATTAAGCTTCTAGCAGTGCCTCCATTCTTTAAGTGACACTTCAAGAGGTCATTTTAAAAGGTCAAGTAATCCCCGAGGCGGGGGTGGGGGGGGACAGATAACCACAAACTTAAAAACTGTTTCTCCTATTACACAAAACTGTCCCCATTTAAACTCAATCTGGGGCCCTGACAGTGGAAAGAAAACCCTGAATATTGAAGATTCCTATTTAAACACTGACCCTAAAAAGGAAGCTTTCAATGATGGACGGAAGTATATTTTTCCATAAGGACCTCAACACCAAGAGATGTTCAGAGGCAGCTTACTTTATTTTTGGACCAAGTGAACATAATTTTACTTTAGTCTCTATTACTGCATATTCAGAAACAAGAATTTTAAAAGAAACAATTAGGTGTAATTAAAATGAAACTTCAAAAATAATTAACAGCTCATTTTTTTCAACCAAGATCCCCCAGAGAATTTTATCTATATACTATATGTATAGATAAATATATAAAATTCTCTGATATATATATATATATATAAAATATATAAAACTAAAACCACCCTTAATATTCCTTGATTCTCTGAGCCTCTGCTGCCACAAGAGTGGTCCACAGACTGGCATCTGGGTATCACCTGGATGCTGGTTAGGAAATGTGGAAACCCAGGCCTGACCCATGAGCCGCTGAACCAAAATTGGATTTTCAAAGAAATTCTCCAAGCAATTCATGTGCACACTAACATTTGTGAAAGCGCTCTCTTAAAATACAGCATTTGGTGTAGGGGATTTAAGGGACTGGCATAGAACAGAAGTATAAAAGAACTGTAGAAAAACAACTCTAAACTTACCAATCTGAAATCCATGATAGCCTTGGCCATTAGTTTTCCTAAGAAGCGAAACTTCATCTTAACCTTTGCGATATGAGCTGGCTTAGCTGTCCTACCAAAGGGAAGCGCAAACAGGCCTTGGAGGTTTTGAATATACTTGGTCCCTTCTTGGCTTCCTATAAAATGAGTAAATCACCAAACTTTAGGTGTCATTTCACAAAACAAGACAAAACCAGGTAATTAAGAACAGTTAAGAAATTTAGTATTCTCAGGATCAGTCAGCAGATCACAGAATGAAGTCCTCTGGAGCTGGAAGGGCCTCATCTTATTTGATAGATGAGAAAACAAAGGTGAAAAGAAATTAGGTCAGAGGGCCTGGCCCTCTACCATAAGCTAAACATATATAATGAATTGTAATGGGCCCTTTACCTGATAATGACAAAGTGATACACTCACAGATCTTTTATTACCTTTTGGATTGCTAAGAGTTACTTCCTCCCCTCTCCAGAGACCCAAGTCAGCTCTCTGCAGTTCCTGAGATACAAGTGCATAAAACTCCAGTGTAGGCCCAAGACCTGTGCCAACCTACAGAGGAACAAAAGCAGGACAAGGTAAATTTTACAATCTGTGCTGTCCCCCTTCGGAACCTTGCTGACCTTTTAAAGGCAAAGTCGATACTAACAGCAATTGTTTATCAGGATGTATTCAAGTCTACTCCCCAAACTGTCTTCCCTCAGTCCTGGTCACCTGGATGGAGAGCCCTTTATTACTTCCTACTCCCTGTGGCCCCAACACTTAAATTGTATGGTTCAAGTGGCCTCAGGGATAGATGGCAGTGTCTGGAAGGGATCCCCTTCCCTTCTCTCTTTGATCTGTTCCCCTGGTCCAAGAACAGCTCGCATGTCCACTCTGCAGCAGAAGCCTCTGTATCTTCCCAGTTACTTTGCTCCTTTTTCAGAACTTACACTCTGGCTGCAAAAGGACTCACCACCTTACACTACCGTGATTTCCCTCTACAGTAACGGCACATCTCACCTGGGTTAACTTTAGTTACCTTGTATCCTTCATAGTGCCTGGGCACCTTATTAGCCATTTAATAGAGGTTGCTGAATAAAACACACACACAAACATGAAGGTCTGAACCCACATCAGCAGCCACAGCGTTAACTCAGAGTGTGTTGGTACTGCTTCAGACCTGGGGTGCCCTGGAGTCTCCCAAGAGCCAGGATACACAGAGAGGGGTGGCATGCCTAGGGGAGTCTGATTTACAGCCTGGGCACTGATATTTGTAAACAAGCTCCGAAGGGAGAGCACTGAGTAAAAAACTCTCCTCCATGAGACACGCAATCCTGGCAGTCATCTTAACTTTCATGTCCTATGTGCTCACAGCATAAATCAGATATGCAACTAATGACAAGTTAATACCATAGTTTATAAGCTTACTCTAACCATAGTCCTATTAGGAAGGTTCTATTTCACTTACTGATTACTAGTAAATAATGGGCATTATCTTACCATTAACACAGTTACTTTTTTAAAGGCACCCCCACTAGCTTAGATCCAGTCTAATGAGCAAGTTAAGTGTAACTTTCCAAACAGCTACCTGCTTGGACCTGGCAAAGCTTCCTGCCCCAGCTCACGCTAGTCAGTACACAGTTTTAACTGCTATCAGCATTTACCCTCTGCTGTAACCAAAGCCTCGGAGCCACCCGTGGCTCTTCCCCTTCCTGCACCTCATGTAACAGCCCTCCGTTAAACACTGGAAACCCCATCTTCAAAATCTGTGCTCAACTGTTAACCAAAGGATATCTCATCTAGCCCAATGCTGAAGCCTGCTAAGTGGTCTCCTGCGTCTTCACATCTCACATCCTACTCAAACAGCTGAAGAGTGATCCTCAAGACAGCCCAAGCTCACGTCATTCCTCCATGCCCTCCAAAGGCTCCCCAACTCGTTCAAGCAGAAGCTCAAATTCTGAGCTAGGCCTGCATGTCCCGTGTGATCCCTTGACACCTTCTAGCTACCATCATCCTTCAGCAGGACAAGAATTTTGCCTCAGGGCTTTTTGCTTCACTCTTCTTTTGCTAAGAGACAGTCTTTCCCCTACAGTAATGCTAGTGGTGGTTTAGTTTCTAACTTGTGTCTGACTCTCCTGACTGCAGGGACTGTAGCCCACAAGTTCTTCTGTCCATGGGATTTTCCAGACAAGAATATTGGAGTGGGTTGCCAATTCCTTCTCCAGGGATTCTTGCCAAAGCAGGGATCAAACCCACATCTTCTGCACTGCAGGTGAATTCTTTATACCTCTAAGCCACTGGGGAAGTAACCGTAATGACTGTTGCTCAAATGTCAACTTACACCAACCTACCCCCTCCTCATCATGCTCTTATTTTGCTTCAGTTTTCTTCAGCACACACCTTAACATATATATGCTCACATGAGTGAGTGAGTGTGTATGGGCCTTCCCAAACTAAAAGCTCTGTGACAGTAAGGACTTTGGGTCTTTTGTTCTCCACTCAGTTGTCAGCTCTGGAGAAAGGTGGGAAAAGGTGGCAAAGAAAAAAACTGCAGTAACACCTGGTGTCCACCAGATGGTGCTTTAAAGCAGTTATCCCTATCTCCTTTCAGCGTAATTACCCCAGGCTAAACAGAAATCATAGATCAAAGCAGCCTATTTTCTCCATCCCAATATTGTTATTTCAAACAGACTCAACTTAAAATATTAAATGACATGGGAATCACTACATCTGCCTTCACCCTAGCAAATCTCTGGGAGGGAGAAAGGACCAAGACAGCTGCTCTGACAAGTCACCCTGCACTGGGTGACCAGCAACCCTGCAGACCAACCTGACCTTTTCAGGATCTTCATCCTACCCAGCCATTCCTTCAAAAAAGAAAAAGAAAAGCAGATATTCTAGTTTTGCTTAATCAGTTTTTAAAGGAATGTAGAGGTACAAAACTTGCCAATCTCAAAATGCTTCTTTGGCACATGGATCACTTACAGTGGAAAACAATCAAGGCCCAAAAGACAAAGGAAGAAACTTTGACTCACTCTCTAACTGCCTAGAAGAATTAGACAAAGGGCCTGTTCCCAGAATAGAGCTATCAGCAGTGGCATCTGCAAAGAATACAGGCCAGAGACGGCCAGGGACAGTTGCTGGGGTAGGGTGGCGGAGCACAGGGCCTTGAGAACAGAGTCTACTGCTGGGTCCCACTGTCCCTGCCTGGCCCAGCAAATATTTGTTTACTAAACATCTGCTCCATGTGAATTGCCTTCCTCTCCTTTGAAGTCTGAAACCACTACCCCCACATCCTCTTTTGTCTTTGGGCTGAAGGGGGTATTTAAGATGAGAGCTGAGACCATTTTGATGAGTTACGAGTCTTTCATTTTTTCCTGTAATCTGCCCCATGCCAATTTCGTAGACCAGCCAGAAGAACCTAGAAGAGTAGAGGAAAATGTCTTCCTCTCCAACAGGCAGGAAAAACATAAAGGTCTAGAAACAAACACTGAAAAACAAACAAAAAAAGACAACACTCTTATTTGAAACTTTGAGTCTTTTCCTTTCCAAAATTAAAGCTTATATACTAACATATACCATGTGACAGATAATGTTGTGCTTTTTATATTTTAGCTCATTTAATCATTTTAACAATATAATGGGGTAGGTACATTTATTGTGCCCTTTGCTGGGTTATCACTGGGGAGTTTACATAACCTGCCCAACTTCTTATAGTCAGTAAGTGGCAGCACCAGACTTGTCAGTCCAGGCACCTAACCTTTCACTGTCAGGGCGGCTGGGTCATCTGCAGCTCCAAAACCTGGGCTTATTTGCTGAGCCCAGAGACTGGCTTAGTTCCTCCCTGGCTTACCAGTCATCTCTATTTGATAATGGAGCCCATTTTGTTCCGACATTTTGGATCAAGTTTCTTATAGAGCTAGTGAGAAAGACTTCCTAACAGCCACCAGCTGACTTAAACGGTTGAATGTGGCTTATAACCTGAGGTACTGGGCACATATGAAGCCAGCACCCCTCCCTACTCCTCTTCCTCAACGAAGCTGGCTCACAGACTCTGTTTCCAGAGTCATCAGGTGAGACTCATTAATGAAAATCATAAAATTATGATTTCTCTATCAGTAATTCAATCCTGTCCCCTGGAATAATCTGTGATGCTATTCTGAACTTGTTTAGGACTCATGTAAAATGCAACCTGAAGAGAGGCATTAAGGGTAAGAGAGAAAGGACAGTCATGCCTGGTGAGAGGAAAATATGGAGTCAAAAAAAGTAGACAAAGCATGTTTAAGTAACCAAGCAGACCAACCTGACTAGAGCAAAGATCTTACAGTTCCATAAATAAGAAATCTGGGCTTATAAACACATAAGAACTGTATCTCTTCAGCCTGGCTGATTACAGTCTGTGGGGTTGCAGAGAGTTGGACACGACTGAGCAACTGAGTCAGGTAGCAATCAGTATAAAGGAACATTGTATGTTACGTTCATGAGTTTTAGAAATTTAAAGACTTAAGTTCTGTCCTAAGGGAAAGAGGAAGGAAAGCACCCTCAGGAGACTCAATACTTCCGGGTCAAAGTAGACAGAAAATCATTTGAGTCTCTGGTGCACTGGCCTGGCTATTTAAAAGCATCTCAAAAGAAAAAGACAAAGATTAGAAAGAAAAGTTGTCTTTTTTCATTGATGACATGACTGTCTCCAATGTGGATCAGTTAACTATAGCTCAGGCCTACTGCCTGCTTTGTACAGTCTGTAAGCTAAGAACGAGTCTACAATATTAAAAATTCTTGAATAATATCTCATAATATGTAAAAATTACACGACTTCAAATTTCAGTGACTACAAATAAAGTTTCACTGACACACGGCCATGCTCATTTCGTGTCTGCGTGTGCAGGGCCATGTTCAGGCTACTGAGGCAGAGCTGAGGTGTTCTGATGAAGATCCGAGGGCCCACAAAGCCTGAAATATTTACTTTCTGGCTCTTCATAGAAAAGTTGCCCAAGCCCTGTATCTACAACCCTCCCAAATGATCAATTTAGAAATTTCTAGAACCAGTAAGCTTATCAAGGTCACAGGAAACAAAGGCAAGGTGAATAAAGGCTGGGGACTGACTGTAAAATGGTGGAAAAAAACTCTTTGTGGTGATGGGATTTTATTCTTTTATCTTGATGTGGTAGTGGTTCATAGACTGCATACATCTGTCAACTTTCAGAACTGTGTAACTTAATGACAAAAGTGTGAATTATATATGAGTTGTAGCTCAGTAAACAGCAGTTGGGAGATTTTTGAAGTTATATTTAAAACCTTTCACTTTATGAACCTAAACAAACACTTGCTTTTATGCCAGGGGAAAAAAACCCTGTCTTTTATTATACAATGTAACCTCAAAAATGGGAGACCTTGGAACAAACCACTGAAGGGAAAACAGACTGAATCTCAAGTTCTGAGGTAATTTCCCAATCGTCTTTTAGAACTTCACCAAGAGCCATCCTGTCACGAGCACAAGTCAACAGCCTCCTAAGCTCACCTCATTTTCATACTGGATTTCTAACATGGCCCGTGAGCTGCCAAGATCCTGCATTACAGACTCCGCTTGTTTCAGCAGCTCCTCTCTGTTCACAGTACGCTGCAAAAGCAAGTACAAATGTGAGGAGATTTTAATAAACACAGGGTATTTCTCTCAGTGGGATGGGGGTGGGGGAATCAATTCAACTGTTAAAAATTATTTCTTAAAAAAGCACACCTTAGAAAATGTTTTAAGATATAGCTACAGAGCTACAAACGTCAACAACATCTGGCTATCGTGAAGAAAAGCTAGATGTGAGTGTAATTACTATCTTGAGCCCATGGGATATTCAGAACATTCAAGTTGGTAAAGGAAGGATCTCTGTAACCTTCTCAAACATCAATGGAATTCAAGGCTGTGGCTCCACAAAGTCTCGCTGGGTACATTTACAGATGATGGAGAAGTAACCATGCAGGTGAAAGGTGACCTGCAGACCTGCAGAGATCCTACAAGCACTACTGCAAACATCTACTGAGGAGATTCATGGTACCAAGAAAGGTACTGATAGATTCCCAAATTCTACCAATGCTGTGTGTTTCAGAATGATAAATGACACAAATAAAGACAGGATTTAAAAAAACATTTTTCTATTTCACTTCTCATTCCTCTCACCTGCACCCCCCTTTCATGCCATTACATTTTAATGGCTTTTATGAAACTTATGGAGACAGAAGTTTTTATTAGGAAGACAGACTTCAATAAGACTCCTCAGCAAGAAAGAAACAGATGAACAGAGAACTCCTGAGGAAAAGGCAGTGCAGTGTGGGAAGTACAAGACAGGTCTTCAATGGAAACAGCCCAGGGCTGTGTGGTTTAGAGCTATCAATGTGAGGCCAGGATTAGAAGCATAAAAAAATGAAATCAGCAACACAAGGACTGACTGGCTTAGAGACATGAACTACATCAGGGATGTGGTGTATCTCTTCTAATTGAACTGATTCGCCAAGGGAATGATGTGGATTTGATTAATTCTACCTACAGCATAAAGGCATCAGTTATAAAAGTGACACAGAGTTCGTAATTTAGAAAGAAAAGAAGTCTCAATAAATGAACACAATATTCTTCCTTTGCACAAGAGTTATGGAAACTGAAAGAGAAAAACGATCATAAAAATCATTATAGAAACTGAGGATGGGAGAGGACTCTTACTGGAGTAAAGAAGAATCCCAAGAGATTCTAAGAAATTGACAGGAAGATATGGAGAACACATCTGGATACGAGGAAAACCAAAGACTATGACTAAGGCAGGTCCATGAATCAAGGTTCATGTTAGATCCATGAATCAAGGCAAACTGGAAGTGGCCAAACAGGAGATGGCAAGAGTGAACATCGACATTTTAGGAATCAGTGAACTAAAATGGACTGGAATGGGTGAACTAAAACGGACTGGAATGGGTGAATTTTAACTCAGAAGACCATTACATCTATGACTGTTGGCAAGAATCCCTTAGAAGAAATGGAGTAGCCATCACCATCAGCAAGAGTGAGAAATATAGTACTTGGATGCAATCTCAAAAACAACAGAATGATCTCTGTTCGTTTTCAAGGCAAACCATTCAATATCACAAGTCTATGCCCCAACCAGTAATGTCGAGGAAGCTCAAGTTAAACGGTTCTATGAAGATCTACAAGACCTTCTAGAACCAACAACCAAAAAAGATGTCCTTTTCATTATAGGGGACTGGAATGCAAACCTAAGTCAAGAGATATCTGGAGTAACAGGAAAATCTGGCCTTGGAGCACAAAATGAAGCAGGGCAAAGGGTAACAGTGTTTTGCAAAGAAAACGCACTGGTCACAGCAAACACCCTCTTCCAGCAACACAAAAGAAGACTCTACATAAGGACATCACTAGATGGTCAATACCAAAATCAGACTGATTACATTCTTTGCAGCCAAAGATGGAGAAGCTCTATACAGTCAGCAGAAACAAGACAGGCAACTGCCTGTGGCTAAGACCACTAACTCCTTATTATCAAATTTAGACTTAAATTGAAGAAGGTAGGGAAAATCACTAGACTGTTCAGGTATGACCTAAATCAAATCCCTTACCATTATACAGTGGAAGTGACAAATAGATTCAAGGGATTAGATCTGATAAGACAGAGTGTTTGATGAACTATGGATGGAGGTTCGTGACATTGTACAGGGATCAAGACCATACCCAAGAAAAAGAAATGCAAAAAAGCAAAATGGCTGTCTGAGGAGACCTTACAAATAGCTGAGAAAAGAAAAGACGCGAAAGGCAAAGGAGAAAAGGAAAGACATACCCATTTGAATGCAGAGTTCCAAAGAATAGCAAGGAGACATAAGAAAGCCTTCCTCAGTGATCAATGCAAAGAAATAGAGGAAAACAACAGAATGGGAAAAACTAGAAATCTCAAGAAAAATAGAGAAGCCAAGGGAACAGTTCATGCAAAGATGGGCACAATGAAGAAGAGAAATGATAAGGACCTAACAGAAGCAGAAGATATTAAGAAGAGGTGGCAATAATACACAGAACTATGCAAAAAAGATCTTCATGACCCAGATAACCATGATGGTGTGATCAGTCACCTAGAGTCAGACATCCTGGAATGCGAAGTCAAGTGGGTCTTAAGCATCACTATGAACAAAGCTATTGGAGGCAATGGAATTTCAGCTGAACTATTTCAAATCCTAAAACACGACGCTGTGAAAGTGCTGCACTCAATATGCCAGCAAATCTGGAAAACTCAGCAGTGGCCATGGGACAGGAAAAGGTCAGTTTTCATTCCAATCCCAAAGAAAGGCAATGCCAAAGAATGTTCAATCTACCGCACAAGTGTACTCAATTCACACGCTAGCAAAGTAATGCTCAAAATTCTCCAAGACAGGCTTCAACAGCACGTAAACCATGAACTTCCGGATGTTCAAGCTGGGTTTAGAAAAGGCAGAGGAACCAGAGATCAAATTGACAACATCTGTTGGATCACTGACAAAGCAAGAGAGTTCCAGAAAACCATCTACTTCTGTTTTATTGACTAGGCCCAAGCCTTTGACTGTGTGGATCACAACAAACTGTGGAAAATGCTTCAAGAGATGGGAATACCTGACCACCTGACCTGCCTCCTGAGAAATCTGTATGCAGGTCAAGAAGCAACAGTTAGAACTGGACATGGAACAACAGACTGGTTCAAAATCGAGAAAAGAGTACATCAAGACTATATTGTTACCCTGCTTACTCAACTGTATGCAGAGTACATCATGAGAAATGCTGGGCTGGGTGAAGCACAAGCTGGAATCAAGATTGCCGGGAGAAATATCAATAACCTCAGATATGCAGATGATACCACCCTTATGGCAGAAAGTGAAGAAGAACTAAAGAGCCTCTTGATGAAAGTCAAAAGAGAAGAGTGAAAAAGCTGGCTTAAAACTCAACATTCAGAGAACTAAGATGATGGCATCCAGTCCCATCACTTCATGGCAAATAGATATGGAAACAGTGACAGACTTTATTTTTTGTGGCTCAAAATCACCGCAGGTAGCGACAGCAGCCATGAAACTAAAAGACATTTGCTCCTTGAAAGTTACGAACAACCTAGACAGTATATGAAAAAGCAGAGATATTACTTTGCCAACAAAGGTGTGTCTAGTGAAAGCTATGGTTTTTCCAGTAGTCATGTATGGATGAGAGAGTTGGATTATAAAGAAAGCTGAGCGCCGAAGAATTGATTCTTTTGAACTGTGGTGTTACAGAAGACTCTTGAGAGTCCCTTGGACTGCAAGGAGATCCAACCTGTCCATCCTAAAGGAAATCAGTCCTGAATATTCATTGGAAGGACTGAGGCTGAAGCTGAAACTCCAATACTCTGGCCACCTGATGCAAAGAAATGACTCACTGGAAAAGACCCTGATGCTGGAAAAGATTGAAGGCAGGAGGGGAAGGGGATGACAGAGGATGAGATGGTTGGATGGCATCACTGACTCAATGGACTTGAGTTTGAGTAAGCTGCGGGTGGTGACATGACAGGGAAGCTTGGCATGCTGCAGTCCATGGTGTCGCAAACAGTTGAACACAACTTAGTGACTGAACTGATGAAGTCTCTAAACCAACAGGGAGAATTAGTTGCATCACATGTGTAGTTTTCCCACTATTTTAAAAGCTCAGTATGACTTAACTTTAAATACTTATGGGAGAAACTTACTTTTTTTCTATCCAATCTAGGTGCAACTCTGCTATCTTGAGAATCAGACTGGTTGATCTCTGGGTTGGTATCAAGTAATCTCTGCATTGCTCGGTCCCGATCAAATGCAGTTACATAGAAAAGCATTTGCCGGGTATCAAAAGGGAAGAAAAATGGGCTGTAGAAAAATGCAATATAAATTTATTAACTGAATTAGAATCAGAAACCACTTAAAAATCCTATCTTAGAAACAACTTTTGATATGATACAGATTAATAATTACAGTGTAATAAAAAATGGTCTACTCAAACTAATTTTGAGTAATTTTCATAATTCTTGCATGAACTTTTTAAGAGATTTAGTAATAATGCATTAAGCAGCCATTCACTATGAAATCTGAAATTCAACCACTAAGGTCAAGTCCATCATCCAAGATCATCTTTAATCTACCCAAGAATCTTAGTAAATATGTATAACAAGATTAGGGAAGGCTAAATTTTAAAATATAATCACCACTTCACCAGGTTGCCAGCCCACCCCATTCCACCATACATACAGAAGTAATGGTTGTTACTAAGCTCATGATTTTCCTCTTAAGTTTTGGCATTTGTCAAGTCACTCAAAACTGCGAAAAGGCAGCTGGTGGTTTTTAAAAAATGAATGCTGCAGTAACATAGGCTTTGCCAGCTTTTGATATATGATTTTGGAAGATCTTGACAAAGAGTGGCCAAGAGCATTTCTTAAGATGATCTAAACATTCAGTATCCATCCTGTCCAATATGGAAATTCAGGCAAGGATGTAAAGAGTGTGACCAGAAAACTCAATTTTCTTTCATTTTAATTAATCTAAACGTAAATACAGCTACATGCAGCTGTGGTTACTGTATTCACCAGTGTAGTCCTATTCTCTCTGAGAATGTAGGTCTGGACCCAAACAGGCTTGGACAATCAACCAACTCCACCTTTGTTTTCCAATTTTATGATGGAAGATGGTCGAATCTCTTTGGTCAAATATCCTTCTGTTCTTTCCTATTTCACATATAAAGACACTATCAAATAGACCCAGGACTGGCCCCAGTTGACCCTGTCTGTTTGGCCACTAAAGTGACATCATTAAATAGGCTCAACTAAAGACTATGCTTTTGTAACAAATTATGTGGAGACCAACACAAATGGTAACACTCTCAAGCCCACCAGGACAGAAGTGATTGTCTTACCAGGTTTTTCCTAGTTCAGTGAGCCATGTCGGGATGTTTCCTGTCATGATTACTAAAGGATCTTGAAGCTGCCTATTTGCTTTTGCTGTCAACTTACTGTTAATAAATTCACTAGTTGGGATAATCTCCTTGCACATTGCATTCTGTAAAAACAAAAAAAGTCTATGATGTAGTAAAACACGAGGATTACGTTTCTGCTCTTCTCCTTTACCCCCAAATATGTACACAAAGTGCTTAGATTTCCCCTGCTGGCTTTTAACATACAGTTTCTTGTTGGTATGTCCCAACCCAAACGACAATTTTTACAAAGCATAGCTGAAACATCCCAACCCCCGCAGGCCACTGGCACTAGCTAAGACATGGACACACCAGCTGATGTTTCTAGCAAGGCCAACTGTCCTTCATTCTTCCCTCCATTATTCTTATGTATTTAAGACAGCATTCAACTTTTGCCTGACCTCATATACATCTTGAATAAATGGACTTTAAGCTAAACGTACCTAAAGATTTAATTACAATAAATTAATGTTCAACTTTTACTCTGTTGCTTGATTTGACAAATTACAGCTAGAGAATAGTTTATGAGTCTGCCAAGAGAACTAATCCAAGAACACGGGGTGGGGGCAAGGAGGGAGAGGGAGGGAGAAGCTCCCACTGACAAGTACACTGCAAGTCACTGGGCTGGGATTCCTGCTATTTGGCTGAATCACTGTTTTTCTTTCTAGTACAATAGGAAATTGATCAACCACTAGACAGAAACCATGAGATAACGTGTTATGACAATACAACAGGAAAGTTTCAAGTAGGCAGAATTACTCACATCATACAAGTAATACCAGTATCTACTGACGGCGTGTAAAACTCTTAAAAGAAGAATCACATCTAATGACGGGTCTTCAAAAGTTATATTTTCAGGTGCTGTGGGTATGAGGTAAACTTCTAAAGGATTTGATACAGACGGGCACACTCCATCTAGAGGGCAAGAGTTCAAAGTTAAGTGCTGATCAAAGTTAGAAAGGTGTAGCTAATGGAGCCAGCATCACCTCATTGTGCCTAAATCAGTGACCACAAGTGATTAAGGTTTAACACTCAGTATCTTATTAATAAGTACTGATAGCTTAAACATTTCTTCCTCCTTGTCTTATAGATAAATCATCCACGCTTAGGAATATTTCACTTTCCCTCCCATACAAATACACTGTAGAGGAGAAAAACTGATTGCTTTGCATTCCCCTTTACACTATGAAAAACAAGGTAACGAGAAAATGGCCATAGAGGAGTAAAGACAAAATATTCACGTTCAGAGTTATAGATATTTCCTGGATTTTTTAATATCCAGCTTAAAATGACCATATAAAACAGAAAAATACTAGCAAGCTTTAAGGACATGACAGAATGTGACAGTTTCAAGTAGGATCTGAGATTCCTTTGCTGTTAGATCTCACAAAGTAATAGCAATTAAAAAAAAAAAGATTGACCTGTTATCATGTACTTTTACCAAGCAAAGAAATTAAAAACTACAACATGATCACTGCATAAAAGGGCAATTTTTTAATATCAAAAACACAAATATCTCAAAATAAAGAACTTCTTATGTTGAAAAAAACTTGGTTCTATGAAAAACAAAACTGCTATGATCACTTATTTCTGTGGAAGAGGGAAATTTCAACATCATCAGTGACTGGAAATCCCTGATAGGGAGTGGTCCCCCAGGAAAGCTACCTGTCAGTGAGGCATGGTTACCATCATATTAAAAAAGAAGGGCAGGAAATGAGCAAAATCAGACTGGAAGGAAATACTACAGAGAAAGGTAAGTCAACTGGAGGTGTCAACTACTTTCGGTAGTCATTTTATAACCTGCCAAAATTTTCTATTCCTTCTATAACTGTTAGATCATACTATTATAACGAATAACAATAAAAGCTAAGGGACACCCTGCCAATGACCAGTCTCATCAAAAAGTCTTTCCCAATATTCTCTGAAGACAAGGTTTCATAGGGTTCAGTTTAAAGCAACCAAGTGTTTGTAGCAATTTATATCTTCATAAATTATATGTAAATCTTTTACTACTTGATACACAACACTGTTAACACCTTGAGTGCAGGAAGCCTACTGCCCCACAGCAATGGCAACCCACTGCCCTGTCGGCATCGCTCACCATTCCACAGCTCATCATGCTTTTTTGCATTTCTAGGAGAAGTTTTTGTTGGAGCTGTCTGGGCTCTTCCTCTTTTACCACCAACACAATCTTTATTACTTTCTTCATCCTCTCGCACAGGTTTGTACCTAAAGTAATAAGAGTACGAAAACCAAAAGTAGATTTTAAAACTGCAAGTTATTCTTCAAGGCCAAATTGCAAGCCACAGATGCCACAGTTACCAGAACAACTCCCTGAGATCTAGCCACTCTCTCCCTAGTTATGGATTTGGAGAAATGTCAGTGGGACTGATTCTTAGAAAAGACCCCGAGATCACCATCCTAGGAGGGGCCAACTCCAAGGGATGGTTCTGGGAAGAATCACTCTCTTTCAGTAAGTATGCAGACATTCATCAGTAATGTAGGAAACTGCACCCAAATGCCTCTAAGGGATCAAAGGTGCCAAACTTCCTACTACCTACAGGATCATCATCTTATGTTCTTCTCTGACTTATTTAAAGATGTGAAGCTACTAGAAAAGTAAATACAAGTTATGATTATTTATTGCCCAAACACATTTTCAAGTAGATTTAATGAGGAAGCTAACATACATACACACACACACAAGATGCAATGCTCAAAGTGGCATTCAATAACAAACTATAGAATTTAGAGTCCATTCTCTCCTTATGCAAGCCAGCCAGTAATAGGAATTCCAAAACACACGAACACTGTTGATGAAAAGCCAAAGTCAATTTTCAGACTTGCCATATCGTATGAGTTTTCGTCCAAATACCAGCTCTTCCGAGAGGATTGCTCTCGTCATCCGTGGACTCCCGTTCGTCATCAGCCTGTATGCTGAACTGCCGTACTGCCTGATACACAGTCATGTTATACGGTAGCAAATGCTCTCCGATGTAAAACTGTAGCCTGTGTCTCACATTTCCGGAATTTAAGAACTGAGCAGCCTAAACAGAGCAAAAACAAAATCCATTTACGCTATCAGCCCTGAACTTTACACATTAAAACATGGTGGGAATAGCACCCTACCAGAGATTCGTCTATTTCCTCATCAGAGCCATCGTCATCACTGTCTTCATCATCTTCTCTTACTCTTCCATACCCTAAGGACCCAAGAAGTCTATTAAATTCCTGGCAATTTGGGATGGCAAAGAAAAACCTATATATACACACGTTAAACTAACATACTCCTAGAAAAATATGTATGCTACATTTTGATCTAATCATTTCTGGAAAAACATGTATATTACACTTTGATCTACAAAGCAGAAAGATCTAAGAAAACTGTCAGGTACAAAATGTCATTTCTATTACATTACATTACAAAATGTCATTTCTATTACACCAGCATAAATCAACCCATCACCCACCCAGTCATCCAAGTAAGCAGTCAACCCCTAAAAAAATTTAACATTTCTATATACTACATATAAAATAAGTAATAAGCACACAAGTTCCTGATGCTAGGTTTTGACAGACACAGTAATGAACAGCGAGATAATTTACATATCCCTTAACATTAATTTCATCCCAAACATACATGTAAACACACAATATACATATATAGAAAGTACCTCTAACTACAAGGTATCTCTCAATAGCCTGCACCAAAGCCAGGGGGTCAATCTTGACAGGTCCACCCTTCCACTGCTTCACATTTGCACAGTCTGGATGTCTTTGTAACTGGCATTTTAACTGATGGGTGTTGAAAAATTTTAAAGCCTGTGATCCTCTGTTGAGAGAGAAGCTCAAGATAATTTGTGAAAAAAAGTTATTCTATTATTTTCAAAATCAGCATACATTAATTAAAATAAAAGCATGATAATACAAACTCTGCATTTTCCTGAGGCACAAAGTAGCACTAACCAGTACTACTGGTTAGTACAGCCAGCAATTCCAAGTTATTGGAAAAGACTTTATCATAAAAGAGGATGTGTACACATGCACATGAGAACATTCACACATTTCACCTCTGTCCCACCAAGAATCTATGTGAGCAGAAATACCTCACCACTGAGAATGAATTATTTCCCCAGGATAAAAATTCCTGAACCATTTGAGCATGCTCTTTTCTGCAATATTTTGCCATTACCTACTAAGCTCTATTTATTTAAAAACAAACAATAAACCCTAATTTTTTTGCTTTCAAAGATTTCAGTTACAAAATTACTTTAAAAACTAACCTTTACATTTTACTTTGCTACAGTCTTTTGAGTGAAGCAGTTTAACAGCTACATCAGTCTAGACCTGGTAATGATATTTAATTGCTCATTTCTGAAAAGGTCTGGCAAGAGTAAGATACAGAGGAGTTTAAAATGAAGCTATCTACAAGGTTTGATAAGGCATGCAAATAGGGGTATCAGAAAGAATATTCCATTATACTGATACATACATATGCAAACATACATACTTTACACAAATTCAGATAAAAATGAAAAACATTATGGTTTTCTCATGTATGTATTAGAAAGTACACCTTTATTTCATAAAAATCTTCCAGGACAGTTTAATAATCAAAATTAAATACCACTCTATACAATAAAGTTTCAAAGCAGGAAAAAACCTAGACAACACTGATCACTTCATTATTCAATAATGCATACCGTTTTAATTCAGTCAAAACTTTAAATATCTTTAAGACACACCAGACTATGGTTTTTAAAACCAAACTAATTTTTTAAAAGTTTTCCAGGCTGCTAGCCATAATATTCCAGGAAGCTTGTAACATTCTGTAAAAACACATCAAGGAATTTAATGGATTCTTTCGATATTTGAGTACTGGTAAAGCTACTACACTATGGGAAAAAATAAATATTTATTCATTAAAACCTATTAAAACACAAAGTTATAACCACTTGGATCACATATGAAATCACATTATTACACAGAATGTAATCATTTTGTTATCTGTAACTACAAACTTCTTGAAGAAAAGCTTTATATTATTAAAGTACATCAATTTAAGGAAAACTAAGTCTATTGTGACTTGCCAACACAAGTTGGTTTCATATTTTCAAAACATCATGTTTAAGATATAGGGTATGATTTTAGAAATAAAAGTTATTTGATTCACACATTAGAATATTTAATCTCCTCAGTCCTTATAATGAGTGTTCTTTGAGCAGTCTAAGATGTCACCAGACCTCTTGGCACTTTACCTCAACAAAAGTATAAAATCCAGTGGCAAGAGCACACCTAGGCAAGGATCCTTACCTGCCTCCTGTCCCATTTCCACTGGGAAAGTCATGCACTTTGACTGGAAATTGTTCCATCTGGCTGAGGCAGTTGTTCATTTTGTGAACTAACGCCAACAAAGGTGCATTACCCACTGGTTCTACTCGTTCAATGGGCTCTTCTCCAGGAAGCTAAAGTTATAAATAAACCAACAGGTTAAGTAAGGCCTCATGAAATGGAACACTCAACAAGAATATTTAATAGGCAGTTTTACAAAAGACTTACTCTATTGTATTTTTTTGTGATGGATTTAGCTGGAACAATGCTTCCAAATAAATTATTTCAATAAACACACTTTCTGAATAGGCACACAATCCCGTATTCACAATTCCTAAGTCCAAAAGGCTTGAAAACATTACTCATTTGGTGGCAAAATCTGACCCAGACAGATACATGGCTATTTGAAGTCTTTATTTACCTTTATTTAGTAGAAATATTCATATGTTTTATTGCAAAAATACTTAATGTGTACAGAGTATTATTCAGAATCCACTGGGGATTATCAGATAATAAGTGGTATAGGTACTGTATGGCAGAACTCATGAAACCCATCCAGCCCCAAGGAATTTCTGATAAGTGATTACAGACTGTATGTAATTTTAAGCACTGTATAAAGCTATATCCAATATTAACTACACAACTAATGAGTCACAAATAATTATCAATTTTGCTTTAGGCAGTGGAACAAGTTAAAATAATGCAAGCAATGCCTGCAAACAATGACCAAACACAGTGACAGTTTCACTAACACACAAGAGAGCTGTCCTTAGCCCTATTACACAGTCAATCCAGAGAATAGCCTTCTGTTAAGCCGTTATGAACAAGTAGAATGGTGTTAAGCCACCAGTGTCCAGGTCACTCTTTCGCTTTCACTCACTGAGAGTGAAGAAAGTGAAGCTGCTCTGTGGCTTCTGGTCTTATAATCCACATTATACATGGTGATCAACCACTCCTCAATGAAAATTGTTAGTTCTGTGTCTTATATACAAAATAGAAATCTTTACATATACTCTATCTTATGCCTATAGATACATGATGTCTACCACATTTCTATTTAAAAATATACTGCATACCACATTTCTATTTAAAAATATACTGCAAACTGCAATATGCTTAAAAACAGATATTGAGAATCAAATACATTCACAATTGTTAGTCGTGTTAGTTGCTCAGACGTGTCCCACACTTTGTGACCCCATGGACTGTAGCCCGCCAGGCTCCTCCATCCATGGGATTTTTCAGGACAAGAATACTGGAGTGGGTTGCCATATCCTTCTCCAGGGGATCTTCTTGACCCAGGGATTGAACCTGGGTCCTACCACATTGCAGGCAGACTCAACCATCTGAGCTACCAGGGAGTGAAAGTGAAAGTCGCTCAGTCATGTCTGATTCTTTGAGACCCCATGGACTATACAGTCCCTGGAATTCTCCAGGCCAGAAAACTAGAGTGGGTTGCCTTTTCCTTCTCCAGGGGATCTTCCCAACCCAGGGATCGAATCCAGGTCTCCCACATAGCAGGTGGATTCTTTAATCTGAACCACTAGGGAAGCCCAAGCTACCAGAGAGGCCCAAACAGATAATGGTCTGTCTTACACAAAAACACAGAATCAAGATACATCAATCACAACATAGGCACTTGCTTCAGTAAGTGCACTTGCTTCACCATTTTGTTGTGTTACTATTTACCTAATATATAAAAGACCAAGGAATCCAAATGTGTATGATATCCAAGTTAAAAACTTTACCTCAAAAAAAAAAAAAAAAAAAAACCAAAAAACTTTACCTCACTATCTTGACCAAAAACTACTAGAAATTACTCCTAGGATGAAAATATCCGCATAAGTAAAAAAATGACTCTCAAAATAAGACACCCAGGCATGATTATTAGGTAACTTACTGGAGAAGAAAAAAATACATGAAGGAATCTCTTTAATCTGATCTCTCTGCTCACAGCGTCCTTTTCACTTTTAGATGTCAAATAAAGCAACAGCTGCTTCACAAATCCACTGTGTTGGATTTCAAACGATGAAACATCGGACTCTGAGACTATGCTACGGATTTCTACAAGGCACTCAGCTCCACCATCCACCTGAAAGAGATGAAAACAGATTCACTGATTTAGAGAGTCCTTAATAAATACACAATTCATATTTCCACCAAAGCAACCCGATACTTGAACATCTTTAAAAAAGAAATCAGGGGCAGGTGGTACATTCTTGGTAGATCCTTGAAAAACAATACTTTACAAACATACACATTCACAAAATGTTATTATTTCATGACAAAAAACCAGTGTCCATTCTGACATAAAAAACAAAACTTCACATTTAACCAATGTAGTTGTAGTAAAGAAAAAAAGACAAAGGATGAGAAAGCAAATTGAGGAACAGAGGTATAATACCAAAATGAAAAGACAGAACAAGAGTTTAAGCTATGGCTTTATAGTACATTTAAAGTCTGAATGAAATAGACAATTTCTTGGAAAACATGTGCTACTCACACAGCTCAAAGTACATCAACAATGAGAAAGGAATCAAATGAAACACAAAAGGTTTATGACACCTCTACCCTCTCTGAGCACTCTCAGGGCATAGATAAAGAGCACTGAAGGAGGGGCTTCTCAATGCTAGTACCTGAAGACAACTGAGAGGAGAGATGTGCTTGAGGGACACTTTTGAAGTCTCTCCATTTGTTAAGAGATATGGGAGGTGAAGGAAAGAATAGTCAAAGACCATATGTCTAGCACATTTAATGATAAAACAAGGAAGCACAGAAATCAAGAGACAAGTTAAAGAAACGTCAGCACCAAAGATACAGGTCAGGTTAGAAAAGCTGCTCTAAGACAAATAAATCCACGGAAATCTATAGAGTCACCAAGGCAAGGAGAAGCTGGACGGAAGAGCCCAGAGAAGCAGCCAGGGGCACTGGCCGCCGTACCTGGAGGTTGAGTTGTTCAGTCGCAGCACAAAGTCTCTGAAGGACATTCAATGCGGGGTTGCTTCCATCCATGTTCTCAGAACTGAAGTAACGCTCTACAAATTTATGTGCCTGCTCTTTAATCCAACCTTTAATTTTTTCTCTGCAAGAGGGAAAAAGATATTAAAGACTCAGTATACATAGAAAACTTTTCAATTATAACTTCTGGTCAAAGGCAGATAGCTGCTACACTGAAAATCCTTTTTTGGCCTATGTTTATAGACTAGTAAATCCAGATTCCACATTAAACCACTTAAGTTTCAGTTTGAAAATGGGCTAAAAGATATACCTAGAGAAATGCACAGTTAATACTTAAAATACATTTCATGTCACTACATGAAGACAAAAAAAAAAAAAACAACAGTTCTAACATCTATGGACTCTACAATCTAACAGTTTCCTAAGTGTTAACCTGAAAGTAATTTTCTAAGACTGTTTTCTAAGGTACAGACATATCTGCACTGTCCCTTATGTTCCTATAGACTAGAAACATGTACCTATTAGGTGCATAATAAGCTATGACAACTGAGACCTCACTGTTCAAATAACAAATTCTAGTAACTTCAGAAATATATTTGCTTATTTCTACTATCTGAAATTCAGAACCACCCACCAATCAAGGCAATCAACCAAACAAAACGAGCTTGTTTTCCCAATGGAATTTGCTTTATAAAAATGTCTTATTTGCAGAGGAAGTAATCCCTGTTGGTATGTTACACCCAGAGTCAAACAAAACAATCCTTGAGGATTTTAAAGGAATAATTTTTTTAAAGCCATAAGTTGGTGTGAAATGGTTTAACCGACAGTTTTACATTTCCAAAAAAGGGCTCTGCTCTAAGATCCTTCTGTTCCACTGTGAAGTGCAGAAGAGGGCTATCATAAAAGAGCATGTGTGTGCTCGGAAAATATGTCGGTTTTCCCTTTGCCAGAACAAAACTAATGAACAAGTTCAAAGGGAAACCTATTTGCTTGGTTTTGAACATACACAACTCCCAACTAGACATGTTGAAATTTTAAAATATGAGAAAAAGTCAGACATGGGGCTCAAGAACTGAGAATCTGCTCCATCCTGGAGTTATGTGACCTCTGAGCAAAAATTAAAGGCCTGTGTCCACGTTTCAATCTCTATGTAATAGGTACACTGACTAGAATAATGTGAATCTTTTCCTAATCTAGGAACAGAAGTAACAGAATCCCCCCACCTCACCTATTATTGGAGATGGTGTCCTTTGAGGCGGCCCTGGCAAGACCACTAACTCCTGCGGTTCGTGCTGGCTCAATGTTGTTGCTATTAGACTGTGCGCTTAACCTTCCCCACGTTTTTGGATTCAAGCTTGCCAGGAAAGAAGACTTAGGTGACTGAGTAGTGGTGGGGCTTTTAGCTATGGAGAGAACAATAATTAAATCATTTTAGTGTAAATGATGAAAACCAACAGAATTTTAAGACTTCCACTCAACAGATTAATTAGCTACAAGAATTAAGAACACTGGGAATTTAGCAAAGTCAGGCATGATTCAAGGCTGTCAGCAAAAATAAAGTATGTGTCTTTAGCTGCTAGTTCCTTTCCCTTCACCTCCCCATGGTTTCATCACAAATTACCTTGATTGTCTACTTTGTCATCATCTCTTGGAGGTGAATACTTTGGCCTTCTTGATCCTCGTTTTGGCAGTCGTTTTCTCTTTAGAACATCACTTAATCGACTATCACATGGGAAAACATGGGATAAGTTTAGCAATTATCATGATCTAATATCATCACTCACTTAAAAGCAAGCCAAAAATGGCAGAAACAATGTATTATAAAATACCGTTGTGACAGTATTTTCCATTTAGTGATTATTTAATGCCAACTCTGCACCAGTGTTCTACAAGTGTACAGACACAGAAATTGATTACTTCAGAAAATACCTAGCTATATAAATACCTTGACTATACTGAATTACTAAAAGAAAACCAAATAGATACAATACCTCATTAATCCTTGTTAAACTCCACTGTTAAATGTAGCACATAAATAAAGTATATTAAAACAAATATACAATGCAAACAAAGAACCATGCAATCATAAATCAGAAAAAGAATATGTTAAATCTGAATACCTTTTTTCTTCTCTAATCTAAATGACAGTAAGTAAAATAATAATCACAGCACACTAAGGTTAACATTATCAAAATACTTTCCAATATTACCCAAAGTAATTTCATGGTGTGCAATGATAATAATATCTAAAATGAATGCATTTATAAATACTTTTATAAAGAATTCAGAGTCATCTATAAACAAATGCAGCAGAGTGATAGTGTAAATAACCTATTTGAATTAGAATATATGAAATACAACATATAGGGCCTTGTGTACTATTTTCACTATATTTAACAACTTTAGAAATAGTTTATAATATCATACATAGAATAACAAAACTACATAAGATGGAAAAGATGGAAGAAAGTTATGGTTCAGTTAAATTATAATCCAAGTAAGAAAAATTTTGAAAAAAAAAATTTAAAGTCTTCCAACATCTGACATGTCTACTGAAAACACTTAAGTAGCATGATCAATATACTTGACAATCAGGACAAGTGAACTTTCAAAGAATAAACTTAATTCCATTTACAAATTTTTATGAACTCATTTAAAACCGTATTAGAAGAGAAATGAATCACTGAGAGCTCTGAAAGACTCTCTCTGAAAGTATTTCTCTTTCCTTAGAAGCACTGACTGTCAGAACCTATAACCAAGTCTAGTTCCTTAAAGTAGCTCAGGACCACTGCATCTCTGTGAGCTGAATCATATTTTACTAAGCACTTGTGCTACAGCGCAGGCACCATTCCTGTGCTAGAGAGGAAAACCCTGCAATGACCTCAGGTTGCCACAGCAGCTGGGGGAGGGAATTGGGCTGGTAAGGAAACAGAGATGTGGGCAAGGCTGGGAGAGACAATTCAACTAGACAACAGGGAGTGGTGGAGGGTCCCTGGTATCCTCTAGGTCCCAAAACCCTGGACTGTGCCCATTACATGGTACCACTTTAACCCAGCAGCTTCCTAAGTTAACACTGTGCCAGGAGTCCCAGAACTCTCAAAACTCACATATACATCAGGGCGGACAACTGCCACCAGGGGGCACCAAGAGCAGCTCGGATTCTGAGCGTCGCTGTTTCTAAGATTGAACTTTTGGACCCCACTTATTAAGTATATGCTTTACCAAGATTGACTTTTCAACTTCCATCAAAGAAACAAACACACTTTTAGAGTGTGATCTGTTTCAGTACAAAATGGTAACCACCACGAGGGTCAGTAATGTTTTCAGCAGCATAGTACAACAAAGGAATTAAAACAAAAAAAGACGTGCAAGCAGAGAATTTTCTTAGAATTCTCATTAGCCTTTATTAAGAGCAAAAGTTCCGATATGCCAGTAAAAGACAGATAAGAAATCAGGTTCTTATATTCTAAAAATTCCGATTTTTAATATTTTTCACTATATTAAGTATCTAGATGTCTCAAAGCTGGTAATGTATGCTGCAACACAATATAGTAAATATTCGTTAAGATTATGGTATCAGAAATGAGGCTCAAATCCTTCATCATTATAGAAAGTTCAAGACATTACGCCAGTCACTTAGCTTCTCTGAGCCTTAGTGCCCTTGTAGGTCAATGTAAATACTATGTCTCTACTGTGGTTTCTAAACATGGCTCAATACAGCAGGTTTTCAGTAAGTGTTCAATTTTCTTGCCATTCTCATTATACACCTAACAAAACATACATGGAAAAATGGAAAATGTACACTCTCCGTAGTGCCCTATACCCTTCACTTCCCCGCATGTATCGTGGAGACCAGGGCAGAGTCTCAAGCAAAGAGCACAAGAGTCACTGCAGAATTCTGACTTACCCTTGAGGGCTCAGGTCTAGAGAATCGTCTCTGCTGTGCTGCAAGCTGGGGGACCCCAGGTCAGCCGAGGCATTGGTGGCGGCCGTGGCTGTCCCACTGTTGACTGATGGCGTGGACCCCAAGGACCCGGACCCATTTGCACAGGCCTTCGGTGGGCTCGTCAACAACGACTCGGACTCTGCTAGGTGCTTGACCTGATGCATCACCCCTTCACAGAACAAGGTCAGAGTGTGTGTTACTCAGGACCGTCTCCCACCACTACAAGAACCCTAAACGCTAATGCTGATTCACAAGGAATGAATAAAAAGTACGCAAAAACAGGAAAATCATTGAGGTGCCAGAGTCTTCAACCTGACTCCAAAAAATAGAAGGAAGTAAATTCAAATTTAAATAAAGATACTTATATTGAGGATGAGATGGTTAGATAACATCACCAACTCAATGAACATCAATCTGAGCAAACTCTGGGAGACAGTGAAGGAAACAGAAGCCTGGTATGTTCCAGTTCATGGGGTCACAAAGAGTCAAACACGACTTAGCAATTGAACACACACTTCCAATACACTCAAAATGTTAAATGGGGTCACATATAAAGTCCTACCAGAAATTTAATGTACCCACTGTAAGAATCAAAAACAATTACAAAAATTCAGTGCACCTGTGGCTGGATAGCCAAAAGGTGAGAAAAGGACCTACAATTATTAACTTCATATGCTACAAGGAGACAAGATCACAATAACACTACTGCCAATAAAGAGAATACCAGCTATTGAAGGATGGAGATTTTTCACATCCCTGCAGGGGTATGAGGAGACGGAACAATAACCCATTAAGGCAGAGATTTGTATTTGGGGTTCAACTGTGGGAGGAAGCACATTGGGGCGGGGGCAGATACAAAGGTGTGTATTCACATGTGCACAACATTCACATTTTTCTGGGGAAGAGTCCATAACTTTCCATCAGATTATTTATTATTTAAAAAAAAAAAAAGATTTTTGAATGAATTCAAAAATGAATTCAAACTTCAGGCATTCGTTCCACAAGTACTATTTGCAACCGTCATATGCCCAGACTGTAAGTGAGGCACTAAGAATATGGCCATGGCTAAGAAAAATGTATTCGGGGCACTTACTAACTAATGAGAAAGACATATTTAACAAGAAATTAAAAATACAGAGTGAACTGCTTATGAGAAATAAAATACAGTGCTGTTGGAGCATACCGTAAGGGAGATCTAACAATTCATACGGCAAGGAAGATATTTAGGAATATGTGATCTTTAAGTGGAACCTCAAAGAACAGAGAGACAAGCCACATACAAAGGGGGAGAACCAATCTAGACATTTCCATATACCTCACTATGTATATGCTATACAAATACCTGGGGGTGGGAAATTCAATCTGATGTCATAGTTGATTGATAGGATCAAAAGTTTTTTAAAAAATCACTGAGAACTGATTCAGAACAGACTTGTGGACTCTGGGAGAAGGCGAGGGTGGGATGTTTCAAGAGAACAGCATTGAAACATGTATATTATCTAGGGTGAAACAGATCACCAGCCCAGGTTGGGTGCATGAGACAAGTGCTCGGGCCTGGTGCACTGGGAAGACCCAGAGGGATCGGGTGGAGAGGGAGGTGGGAGGGGGGACCGGGATGGGGAATACATGTAAATCCATGGCTAATTCATTTCAATGTATGACAAAAACTACTGTAATGATGTAAAGTAATTAGCCTCCAACTAATAAAAATAAATGGAAAAAAAAATCACTGAGAAAAAAGACTGATTCTCATATTCTCATATATATACTCAAATACTGATTCTCAAATCACAAAGTAACTAAAAGCAAATGACAACAAACATAAAATACGTAAAACAAAATTAAAATGCAAGATAACCTAAGGCTAAAAATAAGAATATACACCAAGTGTTCATGTAAGCACAGAAAAAGTTCATAAATCTGGCTTGTTAACCATAGTTTTTACCTCTGGGATATGAGAGAGTTTGCCTTTTATTTCATATAAACATGCAGTGTTGGGTTTTTTGAAAACCCATTATTACCTGAACAGAGCTAATAATAAGCAGTGAGAACTCCTTCCCATTTGACTCAACATTCTTACACTAGTGTGTCTATCACATTCTCAAGATGTAAAGAGAAATGAATCCCGCCTAAGAAACAGTGATGATGAGCATAAAGAACTGGGACTGAATACAAAGTATTACATGCCAGGAGAACACCATTTTCTGTATCCTCACAAGACCTAAGCAACCTGATAGACCAAAAGACCCATAATGAGATTTCTGTTGATGAGAAAAAACTTCTTTCATTATCTTTGCAGGTTTAAAAAAGGATAAACACCCTGAATGAGTGACACAGTTTCATCCTTCAGGTTTTCAAGAAGAGAATGCTAAAATACCATGTCCCCAAGGCTGATTTCAAAACTGAAATTCCTCAAATTAGAGGACTAGACAAATTGCACTCTGAAGATTATTACAAGTCTTAAAATATTTCATTATCTACACAATGAAGTAAAAAATAATCCCTTATACATTAACAGGATTCCATGGGAGAGAAAGTGACATCTGACTTTTTCAAAGAATCTTTAGGGCAACTGTATGCTACCAGCATAAAAAAGAAAAGTCAGCAATTGCCTCTAGGCCATAATAACTCAAATCACTGAAACTTAGTAAGTGTTCATTAGTTAACAAGTGAATCTCATACAATTTGTAGTAAAAGGTTTAAAAAAGATGCATGATACATACTTAAGCTGGAAGCATGTAAATTATATAAAAGTAACAATTTATGTTCCACAGATTATAACTATAATTCTACTAAAATAATATTCAGACTAAAAGATTAACCATCAATTATCATGAACAGAATTACCTTCTCTTCTGAAGTAAACACTAAAAATATCAGGTAACTTCTGCATTAAGATTTCTGCCATTTGAAGGGCTCCAACTACTATCTTCAGGTCTTGGCTTGATAGCATGGAAGCAATATGACTAAAAAAAGAAAGCATTTGTATATAAAACATCTGCCTGAATTTGATAATTATTGCTGGCCATACAACTTTAAATTTGAGAGCAAAATATTTTAGTTTTGAAACCTGTCCACTAAAATAAGAATTTTTATTAAATGCTCAACTTTTACATTTAATCTATTTTTTACTGAAGGTGTCTGTGAATACAGAAAGACAACGAAGGGCTCAAGATACTCCAAATTAACTGTTTTGTGCATATTTAATACTATAATATGGCTTTAAAATTTTCTGAAGTTAACTGCAGAGACTTGGGTTTCTAAAATGTTTCTAAAGTGGTAAAATTGTTACCACTTTCATGAACACACCTTGAAACAGCATGGTTTTTCAGGACATCCTTTAGAAGTTCGGCATCCGCGAAATAAATTATCCTAAGAATTGCTCTAAGGCACTTATGTCTGACCGCAGGTCCTGCTGAGGAACTATACACTTCATAAAGAACACCAAATAACGTCTTAATAAAAGACTTAGCCAGTTCTGGATCCTCTTTCATAAGCTGTGCTCGAGCATCATCCTTCTTTAACTCTGAATATCCACCTGGAATAAAAAATGTAAAATCTTAAAAGGCTTCAGAAACACAATAAAGTGAACTAACATAAAATTCTATTACAGCTAGCTGCAAAACACAAGGCAGCACTACACTGTACCTCTTATTTGTACTAATACCTGTTCCACAAAATACTGGGGACATTTGAGTACTATCCAGTTAAAACTACTGGTAAGAAATAAATGGAGTTGAAGAAATGAACACTCAGTATGCAGGAGTAGCGCAACTGGTACAGAATCCACCTGCAATGCAGGAGACCCAGGTTTAATTCCTCTGTTGGGAAGATTCCCTGCAGAAGGGATAGGCTACCCACTCCAGTATTTTTGGGCTTCCCTGGTGGTTCAGGCAGTAAAAAAATCCACCTGCAATGTGGGAGACCTGGGTTCGATCCCTGGAAGGGGGCATGGTAACCCACTCCAATATTCTTGCCTGGAGAATCCCCATGGACAGAAGAGCCTGGCGGGCTACAGTCCATGGGATTGCAAAGAGTCGGACACGACTGAGTGGCTAAGCACAGTATACATGCAGCAAGAAACTAGAAAAAGATGGCCTGTCACTGGGCTTAAAGGGAGTGAGGTGTAGGAAAAAGATAACAGATGAAAAGCTCTAGAACAGGGCTGGCGTATGATTCGAAGGCCTAACCCACCTCACCACTTATTTTTGTAAATAAATTTTACTGAAACACAACCACTTACATTTGTTTACGTACTGTGCATGGCTGTGTAGGGGCTACAAGAGCAGCGCTGAATACAAACTGCATGGCCTGCAAAGCTTAAAAGTATGCTGACTCTTATACTCTGGGCTAGAACTAAAGCCCTGCAGAAAGGAATAAACGATAGAAACCTGAGGGTAAAAAAATTCTCATAAATTAAGAGAATTTTGATGCGAAAGTACAAAACAAAAACTAGAAAGAACTGATCTGATAGGGTGTGACTGGCTCTAAATGTAGAATAGGAATAAAAAGATCAGATTTTAAAAACTGCCTGGGCTGAGGAGAACTAACTAGTGGTTGCTAAGTTGGGGGTGGGGGGGTGGTGGGGGGGGATGGGTTGGAGGGAAAAAAGAAACAAGTGAGGAAGATTAAGGGGTACAAACTTCCAGTTGAAGAATAAATGAGTCACAAGTATGAAATGTACAACATGGGCAATACAGTCAATAACCATGTAATACCTTTGGTGACATCGTAAGTAGACTGATCGTGGCGGTTATTTTGAAATGTATGAAGCACTGAATTCACTATGTTGTATAACAGGAACTAACATAGTGTTTTAAGTCCATTATACCAAACTCAACATAGTATTACTGGGGATGGGGGTGGGAGGCTGGATGAAGGCAGTCAGAAGGTTACAAGATAAATAAATACGAAACACTGCTGATTTTTCTGAGAAAGCTAAGAGTTTCTTACCACCCAAATTATCTTTTTCTCTCTTTAATTTGTATCTATATGAGAAGATGGATGTTCACTCTAACCAACTAACGTGGTAATCATTTCAGGATGTATGTGAGTCAAACCATTATGCTGTACATCTTAAACTCACACACTGCTGTGTCAATTATATCTCAATAAAACCAAAAGTGGGGGAAAAAGCACAGGACAATTCTGACTAGAGTCCAGGACACTGCAAATCACACAAGTAGGAAAATCTTGGGGGAAGATACCAGTCAAGCCATGTTGGCTCATTTATCGATTAAACCACATGATAAAAAAAAAAAAAACCCTATTTACTACCATGCAACTACCTCAATTTAATAAAAACACTCAATAAAACAATTATATGTTACTGCAAACACTACTCACTAGACAACATGGTACTACTTTTGACTCAAAAGGTACTTACTAGTGTTAGTATTGGCTAAGGGGTTAGGTTTTCTCTGAATGGCACGTGCTGTTCCTGTGTCCTCATTGATTTGCTGCATAGAATTAAAATCAATAGTATAAACTCGTCCCAGAGTGGACAAGCTTATCTCATCCTCACCGACCTGATGGGCTGCCTGAGAGCAAAGAGAGAGAAACCTTGAATATAAACATGGAGAAATTTATTAACTTAAGACACAGTGGGGACCTCCATAAATGCTAACTTACATATTTGTTTCATCAGGTTTCAGACAGTAAGTAACAGAATGTGGAAGTTTTAATAGTGTGGATATGACAAAACTTAATCAACAAACCATTTTTAATTAAATACATATATACACCCCCAGACCCATTAGGTCCCCTGAGACAAATACAGGTAAAATCCAGTCACGTAGGATCACTGACATGGATAAGATACTATTTGTGTTAAAAAGGGCTTGAAGACATTGCTGACTGAAAAAAATCAGTTATCCTTAATTTTTGGTACCTTATTCTTAAGTTAAAATAATATTTACATCATGGATTCCTAGCAGCCCATCAAGATCCTCCTTTAAACAAAATGATTCTACAAAATTATCCTTAAAAAGTCATCAAAAAAGACTTTTACATTTAAATGATGCCCTAAGATTGAAAGGGACACAACTGGAAGTAGAAAAAGTAATCCCAAGGGGTGGCAAGCATTACACAGTATGTATCTCAAATGAGACAATGTAGTTAACACTGGTGGATTTTAGACAGCCTAAAGAAGTGACAAAATATACATTTTTATGGAATTCCTTGGTTGAATGGAAGTCAGGACTCTCAGAAAATACAAGAGAGTAAACTAACAGGGAAGATCCAATTACTGGGAAAATGCTAAAAAGAAGAATGCTTAGCATTAGAGACCACAACCAGCTTATAAAGTAAGGCTAATAATTACAGAAGACTAGTCATCTCTGACTTTCTCAGAACAGCTGGTCCAGAGTTTAGATATTGTCATAAGAATCTGATTTTATAACATAAATCAGTGGTTCCAAAGTTTTTCAAACATTCATTTTTAGAAACTAGTGGAAGATAACTTGAAGAAAAAAAGTCTATGTGGAATGTCCTAAAACATTCTAATTACACAGGCTGAAATTAGAAAATATATTAATACTTAAGAATCTTATATATGAAAACATTAGTAAATGATGCATGGCATCTCAAATAAAGCAGTGACCAACGCTTCCTAAACAAGGGCAAAAATTTTCCTGATTTGAGAAATTTCTAATATATTTCAATGCAAATTTAATATGGAAGTATGGAAATAAGAATAAAATCACACATAAAACCTTCACAGAAAAATCACTGTAAATATTGTGGTATATTTCTCTCCTTTGCTATTATTCTTTTCTTTCGCTGAGTTTCCATGAGTCACATAATTTTGTTTTCATTTATAGCATATCACATTGTAAGTAATTAAAATTTACCCCAGTAAGGTCTGTATTACATATAAGCTTAGGTATATACCACAATTTACTTATTCACCTACAGCTAGATATTTAAATTCTTTCCATATTTTTGCTCTTTTAAAAAAATACTGAAAAGCAGCTACTTGTATGTAATCTTTGCTTTTGAGAGATTTCTTCTGGATAGGAGACTGAAGGAACTTTTAGAGACATGTAGCCTAACTCCTCCCGCGTTTCCTTTCAGAAACGAGGAAACCATGGAACAAAGAACTTAAATTACTTGCTCCAAGTCAATCAGGTAGTGAGTAGAAGAAGCAGGACTAGAACACCATGTTTTCTGACCTGAACAGAAATGAGGACCTTGTTCTCAGGAGACAAAAGGAGAGAATCGTGAGTTAATTCCACGCTGAGCACATTTACTTCCACATGCCCCCTCCAGACTCCAGCCCTACACCCATGCTCCATCAAAAGAAGACATATTTAAACGGTACGAGGAAACTACTACCTCAATGATCCGGCTGTCTATCCTGTTATAAGGGTGCCAGAGGCCCCGGTCGTCCCGCCACTGCCATATGGCCCCATCCGTGTTCTGTGCATTGCCCTTCTTCAGCATGGTATCAACTGCAAAAATGCCTTCCTTTGGTAAACATGGCATAAGTTCACTGAAAACAAAAGGTGTAATTATTTTAATAAGTAGCTTTCTAAGCTGTCAGTAAATACCAGGTCTCTAAAGCAAAATCCCCTCCAGTCATTACTAACTATTGGCCCAATCTTTACCAAATCAGAGACGTCAGCTCATACAGTTCTTGAGGACTTCGTGGAACAAGATCAATCTGCTCCTGACAACTTCCATTGGAGGCACCACACAGGAGAAAGTGAAGCGTTTCTGCAATGTCTGTAAAGCCAACAATGAAAAGCCAAAGCCTATGAAACTACTTGTATTGTTGTATTTAAAAGGCAATCATTCCAGAGGGGAAAAACAAAAGTATTTTCCTATTCGGCCATACAACTCAAGATAAGGTGAAAATAGCTTTGAATTAAAACCTTAGAAAAAACTACGAATTTAAGCAATTTCTTTCTGAGGATTTAAGTCACAAGTTCACTGCAGAGACTTTAGGAATCTTGAATTACTTTCCTTAAGGAGCACAGAGTTTGCAGAACAAGTGCACTAAGCATATTTTATCCTTGATTCACATATATCTGTGCGTTTTCTTCAATTCAAATATAATATACTGAAATTGTGTGTGACCAATAGAATACATAGCGATTAAAAGCATCTGAATCCTGCCATTTTGTCATCAGAAAAACCTTTACTTAAATGACAGTAAGCAGGCCAACTACCTTTAAGAATCAAGAAAATATCCTCTACCACAAAATTCCACTCCCAGAAGATCTCAGTTTATGGAAGAACTGGGGTGAAAACTTGTCTAATGCATTGACACAGTGAGTGGAAGAAGTTCCCAGTTGCCAAGGTTTTGATAACCAGGACCTAAAGACAAGGCAAGGCTGTCTCTATTGGTTGTGGCATATGGTTCTATATGAATATACAAAACATGTATAAATATTTCACTGAAGAAATGTCCTGCCAGTAATCAGTATGTTCTACTGTCAAGGAAAGTATTCATCATTAATTTGGGCAGAAAGAAAGAAAAAACGTGAAGTTGCTCAGTCGTGTCTGACTCTTTTGTGACCCCATGGACTGTAGCCTACTAGGCTCCTCCGCTCATGGGATTTTCCAGGCAAGAGTACTGGACTGGGTTGCCATTTCTTTCTCCAGGTCATCTTCCTGACCCAGAGGCTGAACCTGGGTCTCCCACATTGCAGTCAGATGCTTTACCTTCTGAGCCACCAGGGAAGCCCCAATTTGAGCATAGGGGCTACGAATAGTTAAATCTCTGCCTCATAGAAATTTCACAAGTAGTGATTAAATCTTTTAAAAGTTCTGAAAAATTCATTTTGCCAACTTTCTTAAGAAACAGGAATATATGGCAATGGTATAATACTAACTTAAAAAAAAGAGAGAGAGATCAGAGACTGACCAAAAAAAAACCAGAAAGAACAAGATACGTTCATGTTTCCTTTGTGTCACCGAGGGAGAAAGATAATATGTATAGTGGCTTCTATATGATACGTGGCAAACTTCCTAAAATAGACAAAAGAGGTTAACAATATTCCTCATATTAAAGGGAAAAATTCCAGAACATTAAAAACAAAACTTAGATAGCAATTTCTCAAACCAGGATATAGGAAAAATGTTGTGCCATATGGTAACAAGAGATAACCTGTGTGCAAACTTTGGGAAATCAAAATTCAAGGGACTTCTAGGAATTTAATAAGGAAATTACATTATGACTACTCAAAAAAAAAAAAGTTAAATTTTTCTCAAACTTATCTGGGCAAAGAGGACTTTGCTCATGGCATAAGCAAAACAGTGTTCTCTGGAATACCAAGTTTAGGAAAGACAAAGTGCTTTATCTCTTCAATACATCACCTCAGCAGCACTGTTTTTCTACAAAGAACTGTGCCATGTGCTAAAGTTCACAACTAATGTGACTAAATTTAAACCTGAGTTTCCCATCCTCCCTCCCCAACAAGAAAAATACTATTATACCACTAATAATCTACATGAGGCAGAGGGACAAAGACTGCTTTGTCAGTGAATGTCATCACTGATTCCCAAGATAAAATTCTCAGAAAGCAAAATTATGAATATTCAATTACCCACAATTATGAGAGTTTCATACAGAAGTGATCAATGCTCTACTAGCAATAATCACAATATACAGATGTTCTCTGAACCCCCCCAGTCTTCTGACATTAACGTGTGAAATCTAAAGACAAGACAGTAATGGGCAACTGCAGTAGCAGTGTGTGTGTGTGTACACATGTGCGCACTCAGTCACTCAGTTGTCTGATTCTTTGCAACAACATGGACTGTATAGCCCACCAGATTCCTCCGTCCATGGGATTTCATAGGCAAGAATACTGGACTGGGTTACTATTTCCTACTCCAGGGGATCTTCCTGACCCAGGGATAGAACCACATCTCCTGCACTGGCAAGCAGATTCTTTACCACTGAGCCACCTGGGAAGTTCACTAAAAACTGTAATAGCAGCGGTGATAAAATGTTAATATTTTTCACATGGTTAAGGTTGAGAAAGTTAAAGATCAACCTAGACAGCACATTAAAAAGCAGAGACATCACTTTGCCAACAAAGGTCCGTCTGGTCAAGGCTATGGTTTTTTCAGTGGTCATGTATGGATGTGAGAGTTGAACTGTGAAGAAAGCTGAGCGCCGAAAAATTGATGCTTTTGAACTGTGGTCTTGGAGAAGACTCTTGAGAGTCCCTTGGACTGCAAAGAGATCCAACCAGTCCATCCTAAAGGAAATCAGTCCTGGGTGTTCATTGGAAGAACTGATGCTGAAGCTGAAACTCCAATACTTTGGCCACCTCACGCGAAGAGCTGACTCATTGGAAAAGACCCTGATGCTGGGAGGGATTGGGGGCAGGAGAAGAAGGGGACGACAGAGGATGAGATGGCTGGATGTTATCACCGACTCGATGGGCATGAGTCTGAGTAAACTCCGGGAGTTTGTGATGGACAGGGAGGCCTGGCATGCTGCGATTCATGGGTTCGCAAAGAGTCGGACACGACTGAGCGACTGAACTGAACTGAACTGAAGGTTGAGAAGGGCTTAGAAATGTTAAAGCAGCAAAAATCAAAGCCATTCATCTGTGTAAGTAAGTTCCGACACTTTGAGGGAGAAGGCATTCTGGAATCATAAAATGCTGGAAAAATCTAATGTGGGCAAAAGGACTACCTAAAAGCAGAAGAGAAGCAGTTATTGGTAACTTAAACTCAGAATTCTCCTAATGAAGCATCATTGCTATTAAGTCACTAAGTCTTGTCTGACTCTTGTGACCTCAAGGAAGCATCATTACTTAACTGATATTGTATAGAAAGCAGTGACAGCCCTCCAACAGTAAAGTTTTAATACACTATATACTTTAAAAACTGTATGTAAAAAAATAAAAATAAAAACTGTATGTAGAAAGCATTACTATATTGTCACACCTGGGTTTGTTATACAGTACATTTTTCTTCCTTTATTATCCAGTGCCTACATATTAGTGATTTCTACTTGCTTATGTTGACTCTACTTATCAACGGAGGTTAAACACACATACAATTTTTCTTGTTTAAAACAGAATAATAAAATAGCACTTACTTTGCTTCATAAGTTGAACTGCTAAAGTTGGACAATTGGAACACATCAGAGAAAACATGCGAACCACCATTATAAACATCCCAGAACTTAAAATTGGTGGAGTTACTACCAATAGTTGTTGAACATTTGTTAGCAGATCTTTGGAAGCAACCTGCTGGAGTAAATTCTGTAGAAACACACACACACACACAAAAACCAAACTGTTACATCCTGAGTTAGCAGTTTAACAACTTCATGAGAATATCAACAGACTAAATGCTTACCTCCTCATGCTGAAAGTTGTCCACTAGACGTGCAAAACAAAGGCAAGTGCTTTCTACTGACTTTTTGTCCTGTTTGTTTTTTTAAATAAAGGAAAATAAAGTTTGTTAATATAAAACATTTTCACTGTCCTTTATCACTGCCTTATCTTCTTCCTAACCCCAAATTCTTCAAAGATGTGAGCTTTGAAAAATGCTGTGAACCTAAGCAAGCAATCAGTAAAGTCATGATTTCAATGCAAAGGGAAATCATACTGATAAAATCTGTACCTCCTATAAGACCTCAACAAATAAAAAGCAAGTTATATCAAAAAGGAACAACTTTTGTGCTTCTACAATTTCAATACCTACACAAAAATTATAATAAAAATAAATATCCTATCATTTTAAACAGCCTTACAAGTAGAAACATTTAAAACATGCATACACTAAAAAGTTGTAAACAGTGAAGTATGTGTGAGCCAGAGGTTTACTGATTAAGAAAAACTTGGTGTGGACTTGCTATATTCACTGTAAAAACAATCTAAAAATACTATATGAGTGGTCTCATTGAGAAAACATTTGGAATATCCCCTTTGGAATAACAGAAAAAACAATTTAATGGTGTGAGTATTTGGATCCATTCAGTTCAGTTTAGTTCAGTTGCTCAGTCATGTCCAACTCTTTGCAACCCCATGGACTGCAGTGTGCCAGGCCTCCCTGTCCATCACTGACTCCTGGAGTTTATTCAAACTCATGTCCATTGAGTTGGTGATAACTTTTTTAATTGATAAACTGACTTCAGATGCAGAAACTAGACTTGCTTGTGTAAAATGAGAGTTATCTGGTATTATAAAAGCCCTACACCTTCGCCATCTAGACTTAAGTCTAGAAAGGATGCCCACAATTTAACTTTTCTGACTTTCAAAATAAGGCGCTGAGATCACAGCTAACTAGAAAACATTTCTAGCCCCTCATTGTAAAGCTATCTCTGCCTGCTAAGTTTTTTAAAATAAATAAAAAATGGATGGCACTATTTGTGTCTTAATCATCTTAGAAGCAACATGCCCCAATGATTCAATAAACAATGTAATTTTACCTATCTCTTGTAAACCCCTTATTTAATATAGGCATACCTCATTTTATCATACTTTATTTTAGTGCAATGTGCAGATACTGCATTTCTTACAAATTGAAGGTCTGTAGAAACCCTGCACCAAGCAAGTCTGTCAACACAATTTGTCCAACAGCATTTACTCTCTTCCTGTCCCTGTATCACATTTTGGTAATTCTCACAATACTTTAAACCCTCTCCACCACCAAAAAGGAGAAGGCAATGGCAACCCACTCCAGTATTCTTGCCTGGAAAATCCCATGGACGGAGGAGCCTGGTAGGCTGCAGTCCATGGGGTCACTAAGAGTTGGACATGACTGAGCGACTTCACTTTCAATTTTCACTTTCATGCATTGGAGAAGGAAATGGCAACCCACTCCAGTGTTCTTGCCTGAAGAATCCCAGGGACTGCCGTCTGTGGGATCGCACAGAGTCGGACATGACTGATGCGACTTAGCAGCAACAGCACCACCACCAAAAGGACTGCTACCCACTGAAGAATCAAATGTAGTGGTTACTGTGTTTTTTAAACGATGAAATATTTATTAATTAATGTATGTACATACCTGTTTTTTTTAAAGACACAAGCTCACTTTAAACAGCCTAAACTACAGTGTAAACACAACTTTCACCTGTACCAGGAAACCAAAAAATTCTTGTGACGCCCTTTATTGTGATCTTTTGCTTTACTGCAGTGGTCGGAACCAAACCCACAGTATCTCTGAGGTATGCCTGTATGTTTCATGTATCTAATTTTCTCTGAGATGCTTTTAAGCGTATTTTGTAAAGATGACTTAAAAGCCTGATGCTGCTACTGCTAAGTCGCATCAGTCACGGCCAACTCTGTGCAACCCCAGAGATGGCAGCCCACCAGGCTTCCCCGTCCCTGGGATTCTCTAGGCAAGAACACTGGAGCAGGTTGTCATTTCCTTCTCCAATGCATGAAAGTGAAAAGTGAAAGCGAAGTCGGGCAGTCATGTCCCACTCTTAGAGACCCCATGGACTGCAGTCTACCAGGCTCCTCCATCCATGGGATTTTCCAGGCAAGAGTACTGGAGTGGGGTGCCATTGCTTTCTTTGCCAGATCTTAAAAGCCAGATCTCTTTAAAATCTCTTTAGCAATAACAACACTTTGAAACATTACAAGAAAATTCCGTTTCTCTACAACCTTGAAACTCGACTCATCTGTCCTGCAACAGAGGCTACATGGGCTCTACTTACCATATCACACACCAGACCCACTGAGCCTTCTCCTCTACAGCTGCCCCTGTTCTTTGCCAGTCCCAGACAGCTGCAATCTACACTGCTTATTTCATTTTTATGTGGAACATACATAGTCTCATCTCTTCTCTGATCTTAACCCACACCCTCTCTGGTCCTGTCTGCCTAACCCTATAGCTTTCAGGAAAGGGTGATCTTTACAAAAGGAAATTCTCACTGTATTACATAGGAAACACTCAAGTGTCCGCTGAAATAATAAATTCACCCCTAAAGTCAAAATAGTATTTGATACCTTGTCATTTGGGTAAATTCACTGAAATTTCATAAAATAACCTAATATGGTCCATGACTAGTTAACAGGAAAAGACAAAGATCAGAGCATTTCCAACTTGCATACCCAGTTGAAAGATTTAAGACTCAAGGTGAAATAGGCATTTTAAAAAAATTTAATAAAAATGTTTTATGCCACATAAGATAGGTTTGTATTTTACCTGGTGGGTTAGCCTTTGGGTAAGCAATGGGAGGGAATCCGCCACAAAATGAAATTCATCCGGCGTGATACTCTGGCAGCAATTGGCTGCAATTGCTAGTGCATTTCTTTGGGCATTTATGCTGAAGAACTCTAGATACAGCAAGCAGTCTGCCAAACCACCCTAAAATATAGGAAAACTGTTAAAAGCGAAGAAATACTCTTCTATCAGCAATTATGAAAAAAAGAAAAAAGCCTAGCACATCACCTTGGAAACAGCATGGGAACCTTACAGAGGTTGCGATCTAGGAGCTAATACAAATGTGGGTCTAAATTCTATATTAAAGGAAACAGTCCTCTGGTAACAACACTTACCGCCTGGAGAATGGCTTTACTGTGTCTACGTGATAACATCTCCAAGGCCGTCAAGGCCTGCTCGGCCACATCAATACACTGAATAACTTGCAGCTGGGAACATATAAATAAAGAACAAGGTTATCATTCAAGTGCTCTACTTGCTACTCATCTTCTATGTGAATAAATATCTTCTCTAATTTTCATCAATCTGTACTGCCTCTATGCTTCCCTGGTGGCACAGTGGTAAAGAATCTGCCTGCCAATGCAAGAGATGACAGGTAGGATCCTGAGGTAGGGAAGATTCCTGGAGAAGGAAATGGCAATCCACTCCAGTATTCTTGCCTGGGGAATCTCATGAACAGAGGAGCCTGGAAGGCTACCGTTTATGGGGTCGCAAAGAGTCGGACATGACTTAGCGACTGAACAATAAATACTGCCTCTAACCTGAAACCCACCACAGGAAACCAGCGTCTTATGCATGGAAGCTGTTAACATATTGGTAATATAGCTTCCTTCCAACTACTTTATAAGATGTTGAAAAATATGTTTTACATAAAGGATACACTAAATTCAATTATATAACTTTAAATCTTCAGATTTAAAATCAATGGGTTGATTTATGGAACAAATTTTAAAAATCAAGTGTTACAGTTTTTAGCATATTTCAAGGTTTTCAGATAATGCAAATTTTATTGTGCATTAAAAAGAAAAAGGTCCTTAAAACAGACCAAAAACAACCTACCACAGACCATATGAAAAAATTTCCTTTCTCCACTGCCTCACTTTATGACCCTGAGCAAGGCATTTTGTCTGGTTCAGTCTCCTCAGCTGTAAAATGAGGGTATAAATAGCTACCAACCTCACTGGGATGTTTTCTAGAAACAATGAAATCATTTTTAATCAAGTGCTTTAAGTTCTTCTCTGTAAGATTTTACACTAGTGCAATAACTGCCATTATTAAAAATTTTAACACTGGGATGTTTTAACAAATGCTTTATTAGCATCAGCTTTAAACCACGGCTCTGCTAAACATGAAACATTTTTCTGGAATCTTGGCTAAAAAATATACTTTAGTTAGATAATGGATGCTAAAATGTGTCTTTTAATGTGGCCTTACAATCTGATACACAACTTTAGAATTCAGTAGTCAGGAGGTCTCACTGATGCCCCTATCTATGCCTGCTTTCCAACAATTGGGCAAAAGTAGGATTACCTTTTCTAAAAAGACAGGAATTGCATCTACTACCACAGCCGATGATCGAGGAAGTGCTTCCATCATGTACGTTAAGGCTCGACAGGCATGGTTCATCTAGAAAAGAAGCCATGGTCACTCAATAAAAATTAAAAAAAAAAAAAAAACAAGTTTGGAGTGATTCTCTTAAAACATAGCACATACTTACAATATCAAAATTATGCTCCATCTGCAGCAATGTTATCTGTTTAAAAGATTTAACAAAGTATTAGAAGCTATACTCTTAAAAGTCCTAGAAGTATTTCTTCTATTTCAACTGAAATAGAACAGTATGACTCACGAAATTTACCATAAAAAAATAACCTCAAGTTAAAACCTAGCAAGCATACATAAGAAATGCTTATGCTTGGGATGGCATGATTCGCACACTAAAGCACTGACACAGGATAATCATCACCTCATGATTCGGGTCAAAAACAAAGCATTCACATTGCTTACAACCAACCCTTCCGGTACCACTATTTACCATTTCAGAAGCCCATGAAAACATCACTGAGGACTTCTCTGTCAGCAAGCACTTCGTACACAAATAAATGGACCAGAAGCCCACAGAATTTGTTAAATTAACAACTATCAGTACAGATTCAATATCAAAGCTTAAACTCTTATAAATCAGCTTCTCTAAAAGTTGAACTAAGCACCACTTAATTCGGCTGTAAAATACACAGTATAGAATGTGAACACAATATTGATCACATGAAAAACGAATTAGGTACAAATTTTAAAACTCAATATAATTATTTCACAAACACATGAATTAGTCCAAACATCTGACGTGATTTTAGTTTTCTTGTGGAAAAGACCTTAAGCAGTTTTCAACTGTGTTTTTTAGGAGGGCAAGCAAAACTACTAGATACATACTCCATCTTCTTTAAGCAGTAAAAGCTACCAAAGAAACTTCCTACTTGGGGAAGCAATCATTGCAGTTCAATGGAAAAGTTTAAATGTGTCAAATTTAAGCTGTAAAGTACCAATTAAATATATGATTATAATAACAGCCACCAGATATTCTAACATAATGTTCATTTAATATGAATTCTTTTAAGCTCTGAATTATGCTGGGTAATTATATACCAGAGGTCTTGATAACTATTTCTTTTAAATATACCACACAAACACACACACACACAAGCATACTCTCTGTCTCAAATCACCTATAAATCAGTCGCAAAAAACACCTACTCTAAATGGAAAGGAACTGTTAACAGATAAAACAATAAGTTATCCAATTCTTTAAGGGGGAATGACCTTGGAAGATCACATTTGAGAACTGCTGGAAATAAGATTCTTCACCAAAAATGACTGTTTATGGTCATACAAGTGTATGGTGATTGATGGATATATATTTGTAATATTCAACTGTTATGAAAGACATATCTGGACAACTCACTACTAATAGCATGAGCTGACTAGCACAGGTCCACTAAGTACTCAAATCTAATCAATAACCAGCAAATTAAGAAAACTAGATTGTGTTAATGTTTCAGCCCAGATGTAACAGTTTCTTTATTTAACTAAAAGCTGCAGTTTAAAAAATAGTACTGCTACATGGTAACCTAGTTCTTTATTACTGTTTACTTTTAAATGAACAAAAACAAACAAGGAAGCAAGGTCATAAAAGACAGCTATTGAAGAAATCAATAACTTGAGTATGCATATAAACATAGGCAAATGTCAGAGTACAAAGAATAATATCACTTTCATGAAATGTTAAAAAATATTAATATGCAAGCCTGTGGGATGGCACTGGTAGGCTTGAGAGCCAGCTTCTGTTAGCAGGAAGTATGCACAGGAAGAGAGATTGCTCTATCCTTCACTACTTTCTGCTAAAGCAGAGCCAGCCAACAAGTGAGAACAAGCAGAATGAAGACTGCATCATCCTGTATTTGACAGGTCTCCACTCAGCTCTCTCCGTAATCTGATAATGTGCTCAAATAAGACAATCTGATACTCCAATCCTGGTTCCATTTTTGTCAACTTTACTAGATGTGCAAACAAAGACTTAAATGATACATTTATTTTAACTGGCAAGGTAATACATGCTATGAATATATTCATGTCTATGTTAATCTTGTCATTATTTTATTCAGACTTAATCTTAATCTTAAATTATAACCAATTTCTTCAAACTTGCATTGTGAAAATTACCAAGTCACTACTTAAAAGACTTACCATGCTCAAGGGCATACACACTTACTAATGGCAATTTCTCTTTTTGTTTTCACATTAAAAAGCTTAAGGGATTAAGATGTTAATAAATTCTAAACATCAACTCATAACTGTGTTGAAAATCATTAAGAGATTTTTTTAAATTCATTTTTCTATTGCTGAGTACTGTTGTTTTGTTTCTCGTTTCTGTTTAACATAACCCCCTTTTTAAGCTGGAGGATCCATTTGGTCTTCTAGCTGGACTGCATGAACATGCACACAACCATCAAGCAGGAAGTACTGACTGCCTACAAAGACAACCCACAAGTGAGCTGTTAACACTGCCCCATGAATCACCAGTTTAAAAGAAAAAAAGCATGTGAGTTTTGGCACAGTAAGTCAAGTTACCACCTAAAGGGGATAACCACTTAAAACTGAAAACTGCATGGGTCATTTAAGTATCAAAGATAAGTTAACTATTCATCAAGAGATGGTTTATAAATTTTAGTCATTCATCATTAAGTCATGCACTATCTCTACAGGCCTGAAATACAAGGATAAGCCATACTAAACTATCTCTTAGTCCTATTGTATTCTAAAGTTCCTAATGACAATGATCAATCATGCTTTTAGTAAAAATAAGAGCAGCATTTAGGGCATGAGTGGGATAAAATGAGGGGGAAATTCTCTTACCAAAGCTGGAACCACACTCTTGACAGGAAACCCTCCCAGCGTCTCCTCATTCCCCATGACCAGTAATTGACACATCTCAATAACGGCCTGGAGCTGCTGGCTTTCATCGCTTGCTTGTAGTCCTTGCAGAAGCTGCTGGGCCTTAGAACCTGCACACAGAAATAAAATCAATACTTTTAAACCTTTAAGAAAATTATTACTAAGTGTTAAGTGTGACTTTACACAGTCAGCTGGCTACTTTTCCTCTTTGGAACCCAACTAAAGAGGGATTTTACTCGGCCTTAAAGCAATGTCAGTTATTTATATTCTCCTCTTTTACTTTTTATCTTTTTAAATGAGAGGTGTTGACTGGTTTTAACAGATGCAACGAAAAGTAATGTCCACAAGACTAACATGGACTCCTCAGCATGTGTGTGCTTAGCTGCTCAGTTGTGTCCAACTTTTTGCAGCCCCATGGACTGCAGCCTGCCAGGTCCTTCTCTCCCTGGGGATTCTCCAGGCAAGAATCCTGGAGTGGGTTGCCATGCCCTCCTCCAGGGAATCTTTCCAACCCAGGGATCAAACGCAGGTCTCCCATATTGCAGGCAGATTCTTCATCAACTGAGCCACCAGGGAAGCCCAAGAATACTAGAGTGAGGTAGCCTATCCCTTCTCCAGGGGATCTTCCTAACCCAGGAATTGAACCGGGGTCTCTTGTATTACAGGTAGATTCTTTATCAGATGAGCTACCTGCTTTTAAAAATATGTATTATCTAGTGAGCAAAAAGTCTTCTGCCATAATAAAAAACCTGATAAACAATGATGCCCAGGCATCAAAGGAAATGTTATATACCTCTAAACACCTCCATCAGAATAAATGGAATCCAAGTAACAGTGAAAGCATGGAAATAAAGACCAACAGAACAGTAACGCATCTAACAAAAGGGACTGCCAAGAATGATTTCCCAAAACATCAAAAGATGGGCCTTCTCACCTCCTCTCACTTCATGTGCATATGCTGCTATCACAGTGCGTTAGAGAACTTCTGCTTTTAAGGTTTAATCCCATCCTCAAAACATTTGAAAAATGCTAAGACTCAACTACCACAATAAAAAAGTTATCAATAAACTAAAAAATAAAGTCTACAAATGTGTTTCAAATTTTCCTGGACACCCTCCTTCTTGGAGCCACCATTAATTCCACTGAAACTTACAAATGTAAACCTGGTATTATTCAACCCCTTTCGTTCTCAAGACCTTTTCCAATTGTTCCTTGTGTACTGGATTTTTTCCACTTACTACTGAAATGAAAAAAATCCACTTATGACTGAAATGCTTAGAAACGATACATGTTTGGAAACTGTCAATGAATGCAGAGTTCACATGAACAGCAACTTTTTTTCCCAATTAAACACGAACAATCTTCTTGGAGGGCAAACATCTTTCAAAGGGATGCACAATAATCCTCACAAAGTCTGTTTTCTCTATTATTTAAGGGTGTGGTTAACGAACTGCAGAATATCACTAACTCCTTTCATCAAAATTAAGAGTCCACCCAGAAATATACTATGAGAAATCCAAGTTCAAAAGGACAGCACCTTTAAAATTTCTCAAACTAAATAATATCAGTTCCACTTAGGGCAGGCTTATCACTTTTGTGTTGAAATAATGTGAGAGAAAAAAAAATGAAGGGAAAATAACTATGAAAACGAAAGAATCCTTAGCTGCTTCTGGATTTGTTTTTAAAGAATGAAATCATTCAAAGTATACCCTAAAAACCACAACCAAAAATAGGAAAAATTAAAACAAGCAATGGTATGTCTTATAATCACTGAGGCTGGCAATTCTAGGCATATGGATCATTTCAGCATGATCAAAGTAATCATTAAAAAAAAAAAAAAACCTGTCATAATGCCACTGGTCTTTTGGGATGGTCGTAAAAAGACCTTATCCCAGACTGAAAGTGACAACAAAAAGTCAACACCATTATTTTCCTTTGCTATATGAAGAGAAATAACCTCAAACAGATCAGTGAATTTTGGTTCTAAGGATTATTTTATACAAAATTATTAAGAATCCCTCCCCAGTCCCAAAAGCACTCTTGTGTATGTGGTTTATATCTATTGTTATTTATAAAATGTGTCAGGAACTAAAAGAGAAAAAAAATTTTAAATACTTGATTAATTCATTACATATTAATATAAACAAACTTTTTGTGGAAAAGACCGTATTTTTCCAAAACAATAAAAATGCAGTGTTAAGTAGCACTATTTTGCTCTTGTTGCAAATCATTTAAATATCAAGCTTAATAAAAGAGCTGTACAGTCACTTTCACTTCTACTCTCAACCTATGATACAAGGTTATCTGAGATGAAGCGTAAGAAAAAAAAAAAGGACCCTACTTTGTCATGAAGATTATTTAAAAGACATGTACCTACCTGACATTGCAGAATAACACGACTGCCAGTCATTTGGTGTCACTGCCTTGGTTCTTATTAAGGTACCAGCAGTTTTACACCCACCACAGCTTTTACACTTTTAGTTCAAACAAGAGAAAAGGAAAAACCTTACTAATTACCATCAGCGTTGACCTTATGAATTCAATGTAAGGATCTTAGGCATGACCGAGGAACTCATAAACCACACTTTGAAAACCACTATCAAAGATTATGGGTCAGAAGGCAAACGTTTCTTACAAAGAGCCAAGACAGTAAATGTTTTGGGCTTTATAAGCCACAGGGTTGCTGTTGCCACTACTCGACCCTGGCATTGTGGCATGAAAGCAGACACAGGCAATAAGCCAAGCATGGCTGTGTTCCAACCAAATTTTATTTATACACACTGAAATTTGAATTTCATTTAATTTTCATGTAACAAAATATTACTTCTTTAAAACTTTTTCAGCCATCTAGAAATCATTTTTAGTTCATAGGGTATATCAAAACAAGCAGGAGGCTGATGTGGCCCATGGGCAGGAGTTTACCAACTGCTGATACTGAGGAAAGAGAAGTCCTAGCATTTCAGGGAGTCACAGGAGGCTGGTGTGTTCAAGTGTGAACTGGCCCCACTGGACATCTGCTAAGTTCTGAGGCCGTGAAGAGGACCATGGATCAAGTCAGAGGTTCTGCTAAGACAATGCAAACTCATTCAGTCTCAGGGTACTCAGAGAACAAAGTCCCCACAGAGGGAGGAGGCCTGACTCAACCACACACAGCCAGTGTCCCTTATCCTCAAGACATCTGCAACATTTTCAAACTGCATAATGAATATAAAGTCTAAGGGGATGGAGATCTGCAAGGTTCTCAACAGCAAAAACCCTGGGAGAGAGAATTTCCTGGAGGTTCAGTGGATAAGACTCTGAGCTTTCAATACCGAGGGTGTGGGTTCAATCCCTAGTCGGGAAACTAAGATCCCACAAGGTGCATGGTATGGAAAAATTCAAAAAAGAAATTAGGAAAACAGAAAAATCCGCACCCCCCCCCCAAAACCCCTGGGAGGCTCACGACAAACAGGGATAAGCCAGAGGTGAAATGAGCCATGTATGAAATAAGCTACAGCCCTGACTGGAGCAAAGTGATCAGCTTCTGACCGTGTTTAACACTGAAGAAGAGGAAACACTAATAGAAAACACCACTTGGGGTCTCTTCAGTTCACATAATCAATTACCAGATGTATAAAGAGGCTGAGGAGTATGTGACTAACAATCAAAAGGGGGGGTGGGAGAGACAACAGAAGCAGGCTAACACCACTAGAAACTATAAGCTAGGTATTCTTTAACTATGATTGTGTTAGACACTCAGTCATGTCTGACTCTTTGCAACCCCAGGCTCCTCTGTCCATGGAATTCTAGAGGCAAGAATATTGGAGTGGGTTGTCATTCACTTCTCCAGGGGATCCTCCCAACCCAGGGATCAAACCTGGGTCTCCCGCATTGCAGGAAGATTCTTTACTGTCTGAGCCACCAGGAAAGGCTCCATAACTATAATTAATAAATTGCAAATGTAAGTAATAGAGGAAATGATAGTTAAAGAGCCCGGGATCAACACGTACGCACTGCTATATTTAAAATGGATAACCAAAAAAGTCCTACTATACATATACAGCGCAGGGAACTCTCCCTTAATGTCATGTGGCAGCCTGGATAGGAGGGGAGTTAGGAGAGGATGGATATATGTGTGTATATATATATATATTCATATATATATATATGAATGGTTGAGTTGCTTTGGTGTTCACCTGAAACTATTACAACATAGTTAAATGGCTATACTCCAATACAAAATAAATAAAACAAATTGCCAGTATAAGCAAAGATGAACAAAATGGGTAAGAATGTAATGAATTTCAAAGAGAACTGGAATCTATTTCTAAAAATCAAATAACTGCCTAGAACTGGAAAACACACCTGAAAGCTAAAATTCATTGATGAATGTAACCAAAAATGGAAGAAGAAAACAGAAAAAAGAATTATAGTTAATTTTAAATGTGGTCAATAAAAGTCTTCAAACTAGGCATGAGAAAAAAAAAATTCTGGGAAAAACAAAAACAGCTAGATAGACCAGTATATGAAGTGCAAAGTCTGAACGTGTACAATCCTGATACTCCTAGAGAAAATGAAGGAGAACACTTGAATAGATAATGAAATAAGAGGAAACATATATGAAGAGATAATGGGCAACAATTTTCCAAAACTGATGAAAGGTATCAACTCACAGATTCAAAGGTTCAGTGAAACTCAAGCAAATTGAAAATGAAAGAAAGTGTCACATGGGCCTAATATAGATAAAACTATTAAAACTTAATATAAAGTAAATCTTAAAAGAAGCCAGGGGAGAAAAGAATTGCCTTGAAAAGGTTATAGTAAGATTTTTAAACAGAAACTATGGAAACCAGAAGAGACATTACAAAGGGCTAACATGAGATTTTTACACCTGGGAAAATAATCTTTTGAAAATTAAGGCAAAACAAAGATTTCTCAAACAAAAGCAGAGAGAAATTACTGCTAGCATTTATACCTAAGAAAAGTTCTTTTAGGCTGAAGGGAAACAATCCAGATAGGAGAAAGGAACTGCAGGAAAGAAGAGTACTGGAAATGGTACATATATGTGGGCAAAAATAAAAGAAGATGGATGTTTTAAAACAAAAACTGTCTTTCTAACACACGTATAAGCAAAACAAAACAACAACATAAAGGATGGCAAGAGAAAAGGTTAAACTGCTGCTTACACTGTTTGGGATATGATAACATTATTACTATAAAGTAGGCGATGTATAATAGCCCAAGGATATGCATTATAATCTCCCAAAGAGGCTAATTTATTTACATCTGCCAAAATGTTGTGTGCATTTATACCCTTTATACCACAATCCCCTTTCTAGAGATCTAGCCTAAAGATAACAGGAAAAAATAGGAAAGCTGTATTTCACTGCAACACAACCAAGACTGGAAGTCACCCAAATGTGCAAGACGGGACTGGCTAAGAAACTGTACATCCACACACTGCAGCATTATGAAGCTTTACAAAAGGCATGAGGGACCCTCCCCTCCCTCTCTCCCCATGACGAGGACAGCATCTATGAAGAGTGAACACCACGATTTACTGTTAAAAGGAAGGCAAGGCAAAGTTTACTACTCTTATCTAAGAAAGGCAGTGTGTGTGAAGTAGACAATATGGATTTGTTTTTGTTTTCTTAAGTAAATAACAAAAGGACAGGCCATAAAATTACAAAGGTTATTTGTGTGGGAGGAGGAAACAGGCTAAAGGGATAATAAAAGATGTTAAGACTTTTAAAAATTTATAGATCTGACTTCAGGAACCATGTAAATAATAAGAATTATAAAAGCCAGATAACATTTTAAAGTCAATACCTAAAAATTATAAGCAAAATAAAGCAAAGGAGGCAAACCAACCTGGCAGCATGAACAAAATTATTTCAAATGACTCTAAAATACAAAAAGCTGATCATAAAGTGAGATACAGCCCAAGAACAAAAAAAGAACTACTGCAAAACTAAAACTTTCTCAATATGACTAGTTTTGGTGCAAAGCTGAATTTTGTACTGTAGGATAAATAAATAAATGAAAGTGACACTCGCTCAGCCGTGTCCAACTCTCTGTGCCCCAGGGACTGTAGCCTGCTGGGCTCCTCTGTCCATGAAATTCTCCAGGCAAGAATACTAGAGTGGGTAGCCATTCCCTTCTCCAGGGACCAAAGGCGGGTCTCCAACATGGCAGGCACATTCTTTACCATCTGAGCCACCAGAGAAGCCTTGATAACTAACTAACTATTCCTGGGAACTGAAACTTTTGGTATGAAATACCAGATAAATAAAACCCCTGAAGACCTGAATTTGAATTGGCATTATCAGTATGAATTCATTGTTTTTATCTTAAGAGATTAAGTATTATCATTTCCTAGGTTTGTCCATTAAACAAGTCTAATAACAATGATCAATCCAGTAGCAAATACACCTACAGCCGAGACTGTGGGATCTAAGTACCATTTCCTATAAAGGAAACCAGGGCTCTCTGACGTAATGCCTGATTTCAGGCATCAGTTCATGGTTGGAGTTGTTGAGCTTGACTCACCAGAAAGCAAAGAGGGCTTCAAAAACTACTGAGATCACACCAAAAAGATCAAAGAGTGGAAAATTTAACCATCAGTGAAAATCAGTGAAATGTCTAAAACACATTTCAACCTGCTTGACAATGATACTTAATAACAACAGCACTCTGAATGGAAAACTGGTAAATAAAGGGTAAGAGATATTTTTCCTATGCCAACTATTTTCCTGGGTAACCAAACAGAAGGGAGAGATTTTTTTCTATGGGTTTCCCACGTGGCTCTGATAGTAAAGAATCTGCCCACAATGTGGGAGACCTGGGTTCAATCCCTGAGTCAGGAAAGTCCCCTGGAAAAGGAAATGGCTACCTACTCCAGCAGCCTTGCCTGGAGAAGTCCTTGGAGAGAGGAGACTGACAGGCTACAGTCCACGGGGCCGTAAAGAGTAGGGACATGACTCAGTATATATTTCAACAAAATTACTCCTTTTACTCCTAATAAATGGAGACTGATCATTAGATATGAAATACTTTCATTTGTAATCCCTGTTATCTAGGCACTGAGTTTTGATGGCTTAGGAGGTGATATGACTCTGTATGTTTCTTAAATATGAGAAAACACTATCACTTTGGCAGCGTCTTTCCCCATCGGAGGAGGAAAATAAAGAATCAAACTTGAACCTGAAAAAGTCTCTAGACCCAACTACAAGTTTACAAGAAATTTACTTTATTTATTTATTCATTTACTTTTGCTTTTCCATTTGAGACAATGGAAATCTGACTGATTGGCATCTATTAAGAAGGAATTACTGGTTTCTTTCTCAGATATAACAATAGTAATCTGGATGTATGTGCCTATGTGTATGTGTGTTTTAAGGGGCATTATCTTGAGCTACATGATGAAATGTTATAGAAAAAATTATAGAATATCTAGGATTCATTTCAAATTAATGCAAGAGGAGAGATGCTGGTGAGTGTTAAAGACAGATTGGCCACAAAGTAGGCACTGCTGAAGCTGAGTCATGGGCATGAGTGTGTGTAACTGTTTTCTACTCTGATTCTAGTGTATAGTTTACATTAATTCCACGTGCAATAGCCAAGCCTTAATATGGAGTTCTGGTGTTTAATGATAATATGCCTAGGTAGCTCTGCAACAATTTTTCTCTCCAGGAAAAAAAAAGTTCCCCCCAAAATAAATGAAGTGGCAAGATAAATGAAATCAAATTTCTCTTAAAACACACACACACACACACACACACACACACACACACACAAATGTACTTATGGTAAAGTATAGATCTTAATATAACCACAACACTGTTTAAAAATGTTAATGTCCTTACTTTTATAGTTAGAAATTCAAATATATCCAGGAAGAAAAGTTAAAAATAAAAATAGTCTTGGGAATGGGGAGAACAATTAAGGGTAAAAATGAAACAATGGTTGTGTGGACTGGTAACTGTTGATGGGCTTATGGAAGTTAATATACTACTAATACTTTGAACTTTCATGTGTTTGCTCTTTTTCATAATAAAGATAAATCCCGATTATCCTCAGGATAAACCCCACATTTGCTGTGGCCTGTAAAGGTCCAACATGACCTGCCAAGTACCTATACCTCTCAGTTTTCATCTTCTACCACTTTCCTTTCACCTTCCTATGCCCCTCCCGCAGTCTAATGAGCAGGCCAGACTTATTTCCACCTCTGGCTGTGCACTTCCTCCTTCCTTCAGATCCTCTGCAGATCTGGTTTTCTCACTTTTATTCTACACAAAATCTCCACACCTCAGAGAAGCTTTCTCTAACCAGCCTATCACCATACCAGCAATCTCCTTCCATTCTCTGCTTTGTTTTCCTTCACTGTAATGACACTACCTGAAATTTTACTATGTAATGATTGTCTTGCTTATTGCGAGGGTCACATTCTAACAGGGAAGTTTCCATGTGGGAAACAACTCTGCTTATCATCCTATTCATGACTCAGAACAATCCCAGTGCCTAATAAATGACACTGAACAAAAAAATCAATATTCCAGGGTCCTCAAGAACTCTGCAGGAGAGTGTTATTTGAGAGATGAGTAACAGGGCAGCAAAAGAAAATAAAAACAAAAATACCAATTGCTTCTTAAAATCCTCAAGTATTTGGTTAGTCAAAAAGTTCAAGCTTTTCCATAAGGTCAAGTTAAGATGCAAGTACATTAGAAATCTAGCCTTCTATTCATATTAAGAGTCAACGAGATATGCAACAATCAACAAAGATTTATAGTATACACTGTGTGTGTGTATACTTAAGTCGCTCAGCTGTGTCTGATTCTTTGCGACTCCACGGACTGCAGGCTGCCAGGCTCCTCAGTCCATGGAGATTCTCCAGGCAAGAATACTGGAGTGGGTTGCCATGCCCTCCTTCAAGGGATCTGCCCAGCCCAGGGATCGAACCCAGGTCTCTCACATTGCAAGCAGATTTCATTACTGTCTGAGCCACCAGGAAAGCTCACTACAGTCAGTATCTTATAGTAACCAACAGAAAATAATCTGAAAATAAATGTGTATATGTATAACTGAATCACCTTGCTATGCACCTGAAACATTAAGTCAACTATACTTCAATAACATATATACATAATGAAAAAAAAGATTCAAGCACATATATATGAGCACATATACACACACTGCATTTTTTTTAAAAAAAGAATATTTGATTGAAAATTTTATGAATACGTATTTTTAAGTTCAGTGCTAATAAGCTTCGGTACACTTTAGAAGTTTTGAAATTATGACTGAAGTCTGCAAATAACCTACTGACTCTATGGAAACACTATAGATAAGTAAAAAAGAATGTATGTATGTATGCAAAAAAGAATGTATGTATAACTGAGTCAATTTGCTGTACAACAGAAATTAATACTGTAAATCAATTATACTTCAATTTTAAAAAATGCCTAAATGTAAATTTTTTACTGCTTGAGGAAGCTAAAGGTAGTATTCTATACCAAACGGAATTTAATGGAATTTGTAATTATGCAAAATCATACTCTTAGTCACAAACTTAGACTTAAAGAGTCATTCTTATGTCTACCATATATGATAAGATTTGTGGGTTACATTAATTTGATTAAAAGAGTCTAGTTATTGGTAATTCTGTAAGAAATCTTTCCATTTGGGCTCACTGTATAATCAACTGCCTATTGGGTTAAAATTTATTATACCATAAAAAACTCAAGACATGAATCTACGAAAATCATGCAATCAGATGTTATAATAACCAAAATAATCACCTGAGAGTCTTTAATCCTCTACAGCTCAAAAAAAAAAAAGTTTTGCTGTTAACTCTGGATAGTTTTCCAGTGGCTCCAATTTAGTAATCAAACATAAAATGATAGAAGAAAATCTTGAGGAGTTGCTATTATTTAAGGTAAGAAAATGCACAAACTCTACTTTTTAAAATAGGTTAAAGTTCATGAAACGGTCCTATGTGAAAACTCTCCTACATGAATAGATAAACAGTTTAAGAACAGCACTCAACTGATAAGAGTTTGGAGAGAACAAATTTAAAAGTATACACTTACTAGCTCCACTTCCAATTGTCCTATGGAAAAGCTGTGACATCCGAGGACCAAGAGGACCAAACAGGTGAGGGGGAAGACCCCTGGCCTCTAACAGAGCTAAGGAAAAAAGCAGAGCAGGAGGAACAGTTGAGTTGTTAATACAGCTTACCTCATCTAGAAGCTTCCAACAACTGATTCACCACATAATTCATTTAAACAATTCTACTTTCAATTTTAAACTTTAAGAGAAGCTGCATGATATATTACCATATGTGAAACAGATCACCAGTCCAGGTTTGATGCACGAGACAGGGTGCTCAGGGCTGGTGCATTGGGATGAGGGATGGGATGGGGAAGGAGGTGGGAGCGGGGGTCAGGACAGGGAACACATGTACACCCATGGCTGATTCATGTCAATGTATGCCAAACACCACTACAATATTGTAAAGTAATTAGCCTCCAATTAAAATAAAAGTAATATTTAAAAAAAAAGAGAGAAGCTACATGCAACTTTTCAAAACGACACTTGTATATACTAATGTCTTGTATATACTAATACTTGTATATACTAATTACTATAAGTTACAACACCCATATGTGTCAACTCCAGGGTGTCTTAAAGGTTTATGGATATATTAAACATCAGTGCCAGCAGGGACCATGTAAATAGTCCAAGAAAAATCTAAAGTAAACATGTATTTTGAAGAAGTTATATATTATGCACATTTGCTCTGTTTTTACTCTATATTTCCTAATCAGATATGATCGTAAGATTCTCTAAAAACATAGGAAAAATCATTTTTATCAGTCCCCAAAAGTGAGAAAAACTGTTCATTAGAGTTTCAGTCAAAAAGACAATCTGAAACTCATTCATTAATGTTTCTTGTTAAGTCTCATTGGGGATTGACTGGATAAATAACTGAAGACAATAAAAATACATACCCATGCACTTGTAAACAATGTATACATAATATGAAGCTGCTTTTAAAAAAGCACTTACATTATAATGCCTAGAATTTATGCATACACTCTACATTCATTTTGAAACAGCTGATCAAGAATACAAACGAATACAGCAAAAAAGCATCCTACCAGATGCACTGTTATTAGGTACCAGAGAACAATATATGAAATGACCCCTCTTCAGTATCATCCTTAACTGATTACTAGCTGCATATGTAACCATAATGAAAAAAAAAATTTAACAATAAAAAATACACTACAGAAGATTTTATCTATTTAAATAGTAAAGATGAAGAAACAAATGGGTCATCTTCCAATTCCAAATCATCTAATCAGTAAATCAAGAGGTTTTTTTTTTTTTTTTTTTTTGGAGATACGGGTGGGCACTGCTAGATTACAGTTATATGAGCTTATTCAAATTTCAATAAAGAACACAGTGACAGGCAGCCCATGACTGTGGTTTCGTATAAGCTTAGTAACGGTCTTTACCTTGTAACCGTCCCATCTCGGAGTCATCAGATTCGCTCTCCCCAGAGGTGGTCATGCCCACAGCCCCTGCAACAGAACTAGAGGCTGGGGGGGAGGGGAGGGGTGGCAGAGGTGGGGTGGAGAAGATAAAGGGTTAGGAGAAGAATATTTAAAACTCATTATGTCTGGTTTATCTTTAAAAAGAAAAAGCAAAGATTCACAGATAATAATACATTAAAGGCAAACATTCTTTTAGACTTTATTATGTAGTTTTATGGAAAAAAAGATGGCTCAATGACAATAGAAAAACATACAAGCCTTGCATTTCACTCCTGTATGATTTTCACAGTTTCCTCCTATCTTTAAAAGTGAAAGTGAAGTCGCTCAGTCATGTCCAACTCTTTGCAACCCCATGGACTGTAGCCTACCAGGCTTCTCCGTCCATTAGATTTTCCAGGGAAGAATACTGGAGTGGGTTGCCATTTCCTTCTCCAGGAGATCTTCCCAACCCAGGGATTGAACCTGGGTCTCCCGCATTGTAGGCAGACGCTTTACCGTCTGAGACACCAACCTCTCTTTGAAACTGCTCCTCAATTCAGTCTTATTCTGAACTCCTCTATGAAAAGTCCATAAATATAACACTGCTAAAGCCACTGTGATATTTAATAAACAGGCAAGTAATCACAAACGTAACATAGGAGAATGATCCATAGGGGTGTGTGCCTTCTTCAGTCTGCTCTATCTAGTCTAGTCTAGTCTGGACTAGAGCCTTGATATAATCATTTGCCATGTTTTCTTCCATTTCAAGAATATGCAAAGATTCTGCTCTCTTATTTTCAGGACAAAACACTGAAGATACACATTAACAGAAGACCACAAAACATTTAAGTACAAAAGAGAAAGCAACTAGTATGTCAAAACAAAGGAAAGAAGAAGTCACATTCAGAAGGATTCTACTACACAAAATGCTAACCTGATCAATACTTCAGTCTAAGTAAACAGTGGTTGATTCTATTACAAATCTGACCAAGAGATAAAAATATATTCCTGTAAAACCAGCAGCTTAACTGCCCCTTCCTCTCAGTTTCTGTTGAGTCCCAAAGCATTTTTTGTACAAACAATTCATCTATGTAGAATGACCACATCATCCATAATACTTTACTATGTCCATGTGACAGATTAATGACAGAACACAAGCCAAGACAAATAATTTTGTCATTATTAAAAGAGGCACATGGATCACCTATGTGAATATAACAAATTTTTCTGAACAAAGAGATGCTAATATACTAGCCATCAACTCCATGTTTTCATAACACTTTTTTTCACTCCTCATTTAAGTATCCTATCATTTCACTAGAATTTTTTTTTAAACTTGTTAAAAAAAAAAAAAAAAGTATGGTTTAGAACAGGAGTCAGCAGGTTGTGGTCCACAGGCCAAATCCAGTCTAGCACATCACTATGTAAATAAAATTTTGTTAAAATATACCCACTCATTCATTTACCTATTAACTATGGCTACTTTTGTGCTACAACCACAGAATTGTTCCAACAGAGCTTATTTAAAGCTTAAAACATCAATTAATCTGGCCCTTTACAGAAAATGCTGACAAACCCCTGGTTCAGAGTTACAGGCTAAGAAGAAATGGTTATATTAAAGGTATCAGAATTTAGTAAACTTCATACTTGTTGAAAACAAAAAACAAAACAAAAGGAAATAACCATGACTACTTTGTAATGCTGCTTAAAGGTACTAATTAAATGCTAACTCCATGGAGAATGTGTCCATATGTTTCCTCTCAACAAAACAAAGAGGTATTACAAGCGCTGTCATGTACAAGAGGAAACCTAGGCTTTGTGTGTACTTGTTCAAGATCAGACAACTAACAACGGATATGAGATCTGAACCCAGGAAGTATGACTTTACAAGCTGTACCCTTATTAACTACACACTATCAGAACCTTCAGTGTATTCTTCAGTACTAATTTTTAATTTATGTACACTGGCTCTTTCACATTATACAGAAACCATGTTAACCAATTCTGCTATTGGGTCCCAATTATTACTAAACTTAGCAAAGTGGCTCTTAAACTTGCCTTGAAACACTTACAAACTGTGGAAATCAAATACAAACTTGTGAGAAACAAAATTGCTGTCATGTATTCTCCTCCCCTCAAAAACTCTGGAACCACATTTTTTACGGAAAGGTTCACTAAAGGTAATGCTAGAGGGTTTTATAAGAGGGTCTACTGGTTTTACTTTAAACCATTCTACAGGTTTAAGGTTTATCTTTAAGTTACTTCTTAAGAGTATTCTAAGAATTTACATAATGAATAATAAATACCTCAAACTGCCCTGCTACAAAGACCTTAACCAAGACATAAAACTTGTAAAACCACAGAATTAAAAGAGCTGGTAAGATTATTATAGTGAGGTCCCAACCTTCAGGGAGCCACAGGTTCTCTACAAGAAGGAGCATGGATATTCTCATTTTTAATTGAGATGAGTGCCTATTTGGATACAAATCACTGAACCCAAAGCAAAAGATTCTTTCGAGCTGCCATACCTTTGATGGATGTGCTGTGCTTAGTCACTCAGTCGTGTCCAACTCTTTGCGACCCCACGGACTAGAGTCTGCCAGGTTCCTCTGACCACGGGGATTCTCCAGGCAAGAATACTGGAGCAGATTGCCATGCCCTCCTCCAGGGAATCTTCCCAACCCAGGGATCAAACCCAGGTCACCCACTTTGCAGGTGGATTTTTTACCACCTGAGCCCCCAGGGAAGCCCAAGAATACTGGTGTGGGTAGCCTATCTATCCCTTTTCTCCTGGGGTTCTTTCCAACCCAGGAATAGAACCAGGGTCTCCTGCACTGCAGGCAGATTCTTTACCAGCTGAGCTAGCCATAACTTTGAAAGCAAGTATTAAAAGCACTGGCCTACTGTAGCTCCCTTTTTGTAAGTTTTACAAAATTAATACACCAAACTAGCTCAGCCTATGAGTGGCTGTTTGTACTCATGCAGGTAAAGAAATGTATTCCGTTCCTAGCAGTCAGTGATACAGCTCTTCAATGAACATATCAAATGTTGGACAACACACACAAAATCCATCCCGACACAATGTATTAATAAAAGCAAGGTTATCAAGCAGAAAAAAAAAATCCAATCTCAGATTTTAAGAGACGTCAGTCTATTCTTTTAAACTGGTATCTTGCCCATCGAGTCTCCACATACCATCACAGTACCATGTAAGACAGTTTCCAATATACAGTTAAAGCTGACAGAATTCACTTTTACTTGACAGGAATGGCTAAGGGTTTACCAGATACCCAAGTACAGGAGGCAACAAGAATACATTCTTAGTGTCATGAAAATTTTTGAGCAAGGCCAAAAGAATGGTTGTTCGGAATATAATTACACATTATACAGGTGCATGCTAAAAGATGCTCTAAACTAACACCATCAATTATATCCAACACTAGCTTAAAAGAGTGTTACATTTTTTTTTAATTCCAATTTTATATACTGAAAAACTAAAGCACATTACACTGAAGAATTTAATATAGAGCTTGTAAGAAGTTTGCCTCTTCCTCTAGAACTACCTGAGTGAACTGGCAGAGAAAGCCCTACAGTATTCAATGCAGCCTCCAAAATGTAATCAAGTTAGTGCTTTCTAATATCAGTGAACAGGCCACATGTATCTTTGACATAAACTTGGACAATACCAAGATTACACTGTGATTTCAAATATGGAGGCAGGCCTTCAAGGGGGGCAATCTTATGAATCTAACCCCTTAAAGTCTTCATCCTCTTAGATGAATATACCAGGGAACACAATTTCACACACTGCCCCCACATTCTGGCCTCCAATTATACTCATATGAATTAAACCAACTAGTAACCATAGGGAAGCAGAACAACACAGCTGTTGTCTCAACTGTGCACTTCAAGAGTCACACATCCGGGCCTGTAACCCTAGCAAGCTTAATGATTGTGCATTTCAATTTTCCTCATTTATAAATGAGAATAACAGTGCTCACACCTCAGCAGGTTGTTCCAAATATTAAATAAGAATACATGTAAGATGCTTAATAGTGTGTATGCAATGGGGTGTACCCTGTGTAAATGTTAGCTATTATAATTATCATAATGAGTCCACTTTAACAACACACTCAGCAGCTCTCTCTCCAAGAGTCATCCACATAGGAACTGCTCCACTTCCACATGCAGACTTGAAGCATCAGCTGTGTTATGTAGAGCTTCAATGAGCTGCACGTGCGATACACTTTATTCTTCCAAAACTCTACCACTTAACCCTTCAGAAAAACTATTCTAGGAAAAAGGCGCTACCAGATGAGATGCTGTCAAGTTCACCATGTAGTTTATCATATGAAACCAGGAAAGACTGGTTGGTAAAGATGTTAAGCTGGACAGAAAGCTGAGATAAAAGGCAAAAAACATGGACAGTAGTGGGAAAACTAGAACCTTCCTGTCAAACCAGTACATATGATTGACTGTAGGCAATAAAGAAAACTGGCACATATTCTGATATTAAATAAAAATACATGAAAGAACTTCATTCATTCAAAAGAAAGAATATATATGCCTACACCTAAAGTTATACATAATATCTAGATTTAAGGGACTTATAACCATATGTTCATAATGCTGAATTCTAGTATTTTTGTATCTGTTTTAATATTAGTGACAAATGCTTATAACAAACTACTTCTTAAACTTGTTAGTCACAATCAGCCACTGAAGTCTTAGCCTGCTTTATGTATTGGTAATGGATACATACTTGGGGTGGGGTGACTTAATTTTTGCTGCGCTAAGATATCAAGAATAAAAAACCCATAAAAATAGGAATAAAAAAATAGGAATAATATTATTCTTAAAGCTGCTACATTCAAACCGAATACTTATTTTTTACAGAGTGCAACACTCTAAATTAAAATCTGCACATGTATGAAGCAATTTAAACTATATCCATGCATTTTTATTATGAATTTAATTTTTTCAAGCAAATCAGCAGGCAACTATTATATGTATTGATCAATATTTAATAAGCTTAAACAGAAAGGGAGTTTCTGCTTCTTAAACGCCCTTTGAACTTAATTAGTACAAATTTGGATTTGGGGGGAAAAAAATTATACAACAAAAAACAATACAACTAATCAAAAAACAAATCTATAAAACGAAATAAAACATGTTTGATGGTTATTAACATCTTAAGATGTAGCTGCCTCCTCTCTTCCATTATACTTGGTATACCTAAAAAGTAATTTATCTCCAAATAAATATGGAAGATACATAAACACATTTTAGGCCTAAGAAGTACCAATCTACCTGCGGCTCCCTGGGGAGTCTCGTCTGTCCGTGCAGCTGAAGAGTTCACCGTCTCCTGGTTGCCTTCAGGGTCGGCCATCTTCTCCTGTCGACGAGCTTCAGCTGCTCCTCTTTTGCCCAGGCCAGAGCCTCGCCGACTACGACAGAAAAATGCCATCATAGGCAGCGCTCCCAGTGACCAGGAGCAATGTCCACACAGCACAAAGCTCCAATGCATGGAACACAAAGCGAGTTTCTTCTTTTTACATAAAAATTGTTGCAGAAAATCACTATGGGTAACAACCAAGACTTTGTATATTTAAAACTCTTCCAAGCTATATCATGTTGACAATACAAGCTTTTGTGAGGCTATGAGCTGTTGTCATCCTTTCAGACAGAAGTGATCTTTAAACACTTCAACTAAATGGAAAAGTGATTCCTTTAGCAGAAACAATTCATTCAAAATAGATCTCTAATTCTTGGGTAAATAGCAGATCAATATATGGAGTTTCAGACTGATAATTGAAAATGGGGGACAGGTAAGAAGAGAGAAGACAATGGGCAAAGTTCCCATCACTTAAGTCCCAGATGATTTACATCTTCAAAAAAGTTACTATCCTCATCATGGACAATAGCTTCTCCTTTAAAATAAAGAACTAAATATTCAATATTTATATAGATAGATACAGATGACATCTGGGAACACACCTGCTTCACATTGAGGCATTACTGTAAGATGTGGAAAAAAGAATTATTAGTCATTTATCATGAAGCAAACTACATTTCATTGACACTTTTCTATTTTAATAAGTGAAATCAGTAAGCAAATCATGAACAGACAAAAGACTTCCAAAATTACTACAATTTAATATTGTTTAAACAGCAGCTCCCCCAAATGACCTTGGAAGTGCAAAAACCTACTACTAAAGAAATGTTTTAGACTAAAGTCAAGCTACAGTGAAAAATGCTACTTGATAAAGAACAAGGAGGAAGCAGGCATAAGTGACCTGGAAATGAAGGCTCTGAATTACCAGAGTTGTAGAAGAATTTATTCTTCTGATTAGCAATAAATAAATAAATAAATGTATTATGTATAAATAAATAATAAACAGGGATTTCCTCAGCCAGTCTTTCCTTCAGAAAAAAAAAAAAAAAAAAACAAACCTCATTCCAAACCCAAATTACCAAGCTACAAATGACTGCGATTCAAATGAAGTCACTTATTTAACATTTAATTTGCATCAATCATGTGACACGCTCTGTGCTCAACATTTGGTTGCTGCCCTCAAGCGTGTCAGTCTACAGAGTGATGAGACTGCAGCTACGAGAGGCTATGAAAATACTAATTTAAGAGGAATTTCAGCAAATTCGGAAAAGCTTGAGATGAAGAATGCTGTAGACAGGCGGGTAGACAGCTTGTGTGCAGCATGTAAATAAATAACTCCTAGTGCATTAAGACAGTGCTCTTGAGGAAGAGCAAAGGAGGCTGCAGAGAAAGTCAGGACACTAGATTACCTGACTCTATGAACAGTTCAAACTTAATTTTCAACCACAGTGAATTCAGTTTATATTTAAGATTATAAACCTTGGGTAACCTGGATTCAAAGTTTGGTCCAAAATAGGGCGAAAGCCCTGAAGAATCAAGAAATCATCTCAGAGGTCCTCATAAAAGTACTGCCAACAGAATTCAAAGGCAAACAGGTGTACTAACTCCAGATATTTAAACAATATTTTAAAGAATCCTGATAGAACCAGAAAACAAGTGGAAAAACAGAGCTTAAAGGGCCTAGAGTCCTTTCCTTGTGACTTATTATTAGGCAACAAGTCATTCTACTTCCTTGTGTTATTACTGTATCCACAGCCAAAGGTATAAAGTTGATTACCTCAGAGAAGAACCAAAGAAGCACTAAACCTTTCAACTGACCTGAGATGGGAAAAGCAAACTAAAAATCACCCACGCCATCACTGGTTTTTGGCACATTTAGTAAAGAGAAGAAACAATATACAAAAGGAGCAAATTACACATAAAGGAGGGAGAAGTCCCACGTGGTTGTGCTAATTAGCAGCACGACACCAAAACTGACCAAGCCAGAAAATCTGACATGAAAGTGGAGTAACAAGATTTTTTAACTTCAACCTAAGATTCTGAATCTGTTAATCAAAGTATGGGAAATAATATACTGTGTATCATATGTCAAAGGTAGACGATTTTCTGAAAATGGGCTCAAAGTGGGAAAAATGGAGACGTGAAAGAACACAAACAAAACCCACAGCTTCCCCTGAGGATGGGTGCTGTAAGGCAAGATGAAAATGAAGTACCTCTCTCCCCACCTCACCCATTACACTCAATCACTCCTGCCAACACTTTTAGAAACTAACTAGGCAATATTACAGCCATTACAACAGGCATCCCTTTTGATCCATTAATCACACTACTGGGAAATTTAGCTACCTTTAAAAATAACCCAAATCTGCATAAAGATGCTCATTAGAAAGCTCTTTAGCAGACAGGAACTCCAAAAACAACCAAATGTCCAACTGCTGGCAGTAACTGTGCAAATAACGTAAATCAGAGGGAAAGGTAGAAGACAAAGGTGTTGTCCCCAAAAAGGCATGATTAAAACTTAGCAAAAAAGAGAAAAAAGTTAAGCTAAATATTGGGGAAGAACTGACAGAAATAATAGTTCTATTTAGAATGAATTTCTTTGCTTGATTTTCAAAAAGAAAACTTTCATGAAATTTGTTTTAAAAACTCATAAAATGAAGGCCTTTGGGGAAAGCTGGACCCAGGAAATGAACTAATCACACACTGACAGGCCCAAATTATTACCTGGCACTAGCGCAGGAGCCCGTGGTCTTTTGGCGTGTGCTCCGCCTCAAACTGGGGAGCTCGGCAGGCGGGGATTCGCTGCGCTTCTTGGTAGATTTTCTTAAACCTACAAACGTGAAACGCAAGAGGGACATGTTTAAAGGAGTCATCTTAAAAATGACAAAATTCTTCAGGCCGCCATCCTGGTCAAAACTCCACCGACTCTTTCCGTGGGCTCTCTAGCAGCCTCTAGGTCTACTTGCATAGTCGGCTTTCACGGCACCGGCTCATACTGGGGAAGTTAGACCGTGACTGGCCTGACTGTCCAAGGAGACGTCTTCTCACTCTGGCCTAAGCTTGACTCAAGCTTTCCGACCTCATCCCTTGAATCCTCCCTCTTTTAAAAGTTCCCATCACATCTCTACTCCTCCACTGCTGTTCTCTAACTAAAGCCAAAAGATTTTTTTTTTTGTATATACTATGTATTTTAAGACTTTCAGTATTTCATTTAGCACTTTATTGCTACCTTATCTTGGCAGTACCCCATCACACCTAGTTTCTATAATGCTCATCAATAAGGCCACAAAAGAACAAAATGTTTTCTTTTACCACCCCCTCTGCAAGGAATACACATTTGAACTGAAGCCTATTAGAATGTCCAATTTAGAGAATACAATTAGGGGAAGAAAGTTAAACAAGCACAACACTTCACAGGATAATCTGAAATCTAACACCTTTATAGGGACAACAGATTCTAAAAAGGTATAGCAACTAAGTAAAGTTTATTGTTATGAACAACGGGGAAGCCACCAGAGCATCTTCTACTGCCGCCTCCTCAAACTACGTTGTTACCCTAGGCCCGTACATGATGAGACAACATTCTGGGCGCTGGGCTCTATCTAAACATAGAACCCCAGCAGTGAAAGGTCTCTGAAGTCAACAGACCATATTTCATTAAAACTTCCGTGTCACCTTAAACAGATGTTAACTTTCTCAGAAACCAACTGTACAATTAATACAATTCTCCAGATCACCTGTTTCTTCTCAAGTTTTTTTTTTTTTTTCCCACTGAAATCTGAAAGATGGACATAGCATGTAGACAGATTATGAGGGAGTGATTGCTCAGTTGCTCAGTCACATCTGACTTTTTGCCGCCCCATGGGTTGTAGCTCGCCAGGCTCCTCTGTCCATGGGATGAGTATCCCCGCTAGAATGCTGGAGTTGGTTGCCATTTCCTCCTCCAGGGGAACTTGCTGACCTAGGGACTGAACTCGCTTCTCCTGTGGCTCTTGCCTTGGTAGGCAGATTCTTCACCACTGAGCCACCTGGGAAGTCCTAGACAGCTAATGGAGTAAGCTTCATATGTTCAGCTAATAATGTCACTATTTTTAACATTTAAAAAATTTAGAAATTAAGTCTTATTTCAGAAAATATTACACTTATCTCTCTATCCAAAATATGCAACGAAGTTGGAACAGACAAAAAAATGTTCAATTTAGAGGGAAAAAATCACCAGTGCATATTATATTAAAACTGCAATTAAAAAAACAAATAAGGTACTTTTACTTATCAGTTCAGCTCAGTTGCTCAGTCATGTCTGACTCTGCGAGCCCATGGACTGCAGCACTCCAGGCTTCCCTGTCCTTCACCAACTCCCAGAGCTGGCTCAAACGCATGTCCATTGAGCCAGTGATGCCAACCAACCATCACATCCTCTATCGCCCCTTCTCCTCCTGCCTTCAAGCTTTCCCAGCATCAGGGTCTTTTCCAACGAGTCAATTCTTTGCATTAGGTGGCCAAAGTACTGGAGCTTTAGCATCAATCTTTCCAATGAGTATTTAGGACTGATCTCCTTTAGGATGGACTGGCTTAATCTCCTTGATGCCCAAGGGACTCCCAAGAGTCTTCTCCAACACCACAGTTCAAAAGCATCAATTCTTTGGCACTCAGCTTTCTTTTTAGTCCAACTCTCACATTCATAACATGACTACTGGAAAAACCGTAGTTCTGACTGGATGGACCTTTGTAGGCAAAGTAATGTCTCTGCTTTTTAATATGCTGTCTGGGTTTGTCATAGCTTTTTTCCCAAGGAGCAAGTCTCTTTTAAATTTCATGGCTGCAGTCATCATCTGCAGTGATTCTGGAGCCCAAGAAAATAAAGTCTGTCACTGTTTCCATTGTTTCCCCATCTATTTGTCATTTTCCACTTTTTGCCACTTTCACTTAAAAGCACTTTAAAAACCTGTAAATTATTGTCACTAATATGACTCAATTTATGTAATACTGAAGTGTCTTCATATATACTATGATATATAGTAATGGACACTAGCATAAATTTTCACAACTATTCAGTGACATTCAATATTTAACAATGTTAAGGCCTACTGCTTTACTACTAATTTATGGTGACAGCATACTTTTGGACACTTTCACTACTCATGCCCTATTTTAGACTTCTGTGTTTAAACTCTCTTTTAAACTTCAAAGGTAATTTCCATATGATAAAATGTACTCATTTTAAATGGGGTTCGATGAGTTTGACGAATAAATTCACTGGTATAACCAACACTACAATCAAGATATCAAATGTTTCCATCACTTTAAAAAGTTCCTTTATGGTCCCTGCAATAAATTCTCCCAACACACACACACTTCAGGTCTCTGGCAATCACTGGTCTTCTTTTCTGTTGCTACTGCCTACTTTGGAGTTTCTCACAAATGGAATCATAGTGTTTTGGATGACCTCATGCTGTTGTGCATATTGGTCCATTCCTTTTTAAAGCAAACTGGCATTCCTTTTGTGTGGCTGTGTCACAATGTCTATCCATCCTTGCTGTTGTTACACTTTAAAGAACTGTACTAAGTTACAGAGAAGTAGGGCAAAGAAAAGTCAAAACAAGAGTAAACAGAAAAATATTTATAACTGATGTCAAAATATCATAATATAAAATGACTCTCAGGCTAATTGACATGACTCTATCCAGCCTGATAAACTAGAGAGAGAACCTCAAATATTCTGTTCTCTAACTTTGGTACAGAACTATATAAATTCCTCCAAAAGTCTAAAATGTGTTTAGAACATAGAAAGGTCATAAATTCTGGAGAAAAGGGAGCTGAAACTTCAGGGACAGCTTAAACTTCTTTTGGCTATTCAGCAAACTGACAATGTTAAGCTATGGAGATTTGCAAAAGCACTTTCAGATATGAAGTTATCATAATAATTGATTTTCATACACAAAAATACTAAATGACTTGCTTAAAAGTGCATAATTCTACACCATTCTAAGCTTATTTTTGAAGCAGAACTGAGTACTACATCTTCAATATACTTGTGACAAGGTGTTAAAATTTTGCTTTACTTGTTCACTTATAAACCTCTAAAACTCTTAAAAAAAAAAAAAAAAGTACGTTTGTAGAAAACAAGGTGAAAGACAACCCTCAGAATGGGAGAAAATCATAGCAAAGGCAACAACTGATAAAGAATTAATTTCCAAAATATACAAGCATCTTATACAACTCAATACCAGAAAAGCAAACAACACAATCAAAAAGTGGGAAAGGGACCTGAAGAGACATTTCTCCAAAGACATACAGATGGCTAACAAGCACATGAAAAGATGCTCGACATCACTCATCATGAGAGAAATGCAAATCAAAACTACAGTGAGATACCACCTCACACCAGTCAGAATGGCCATCATCATAAAGTCTACAAGCAGTAAGTGCTGGAGACAAGTGTGGAGAAGAGGGAAGAGTCTTGCATTGCTGGTGGGAATGTAAACTGATATAGCCACTATGGAAGACGGTACAGAGACTCCTTAAAAAGGTAGGAATAAAACCAACATATGACCCAGCAATCCCACTCCTAGGCATATACCCTGAGGAAATCAAAAGTGAGAAAGACACCTGTACCCCCATGTTCACTGCAGTGCTATTTACAATAGCTAGAACATGGAAGCAACCTAGATGTCCATCAACAGATGAATGGATAAAGAAGCTGTGGTACATACATACAATCGAATACTACTCAGCCATAAAAAAGAACACACTTGAATCTGTTCTAATGAGGTGGATGAAAACTAGAACCCATTATACAGAGTCAATTAAGTCAGAAAAAGAAATAAAAACATTGTATACTGACACATATATACGGAATCTGAAGAGATGGCACCGATGAATTTCTTATCAGGGCAGCAATGGAGAAACAGTTACAGAGACAAACCTATGGACATGGTGGGAGAAAAGGAGGGAGAAGGGGAGATATATGGAGAGAGTACATAGAAATTTACAATACCATGTGTAAAACAGATAGCCAATGGGAATTTGCTGTATGACTTGGGAATTCAAACAGGGGCTCTGAAATAGGCTGAAGGGTGGGGAGGGGGATGGGAGGGAGGTCCAGGAGGCAGGGGACATGAGTTTACCTATGGCTGATTCTTGATATATGACAGAAAACCACAAAATTCTGTAAAGCAATTATCCTTCATTAAAAAAAAAAAAGGAGTATGTTTGTAAAACAAAAGTGTTTCCAATCATTCTACTGGTCAAATATGGAGGCTTTTAATAACGGAGGAGACATGGAAAGGTATTAACCAACAACCTACTGTCGTGTGTGTACAACACATACAACATACACCTCTCTGTCCCAGGCTCTGAGATGCAGCAAAACTGTACCTTATCATTTATTTTTACAATGCTACTTTAAGAAGCAACCAGAATTATCATGGATCAGATTAATATATTCTTATCCACAAAATCTTTGTATAATAAAGTTAGATATGTCTTGTATCAAAGCTCTTGACCACTGCACAATTCACAGTCCACTTATACTTGGATATTGTTCAATAAATAGTAAATAACTATAGGATGAAACAGTTCGTAGTTCTCATTGTTCAAGGATCAACTATGTATTGGTATAAGGAAACCTGCACTTGTTCCTACAAATATATTCCTATCACCTTTATTCCTCTGGATAAAGGAGAAGCTAGAAGTTAATATTTTCTTAAAACTCCTAATTGATTTGCTTTCTAAAAGATATATCTTACTCCTTTTTTTTTTATTTTTCAAAGTATTCCTAACCAAAACTGATTTATACAAAGTCCAGGACTTCAAAATAAATAGTCTTTT